TCTACATTCAAATGGACCACATGGTTATTGTCTAGATACAAAGTTGTTTATGTATTAATTGGTTGATAACATCAGTATTCGTTAATGTGTATAGTATGTATCAATTAATAATTGAAGAAAACAGCATCGAGTACACGCACAAAGTCGCAAGACGTTGCATTGTCAAAGCATGAAACAAAACAATAACATTCAGCCTTGGTGTTATTCATTCATGCGTGACGTAGACATGGAACAAATTTTTCTCCTATTTGCACGGCAAACAAATGTTACAACATTGGCCGCGCCGGAGTACAGACGCGGCTGCCTCGCCGAGCGAACGCCTTGCGCTCACTCATTCTATTTTAATTTGTCACTAAATTACGTTTCGTCCTACATTTGTAATTACGCCACATTGGAATCAATTCTTCCAGCCATACTGGCTCTCGGCTTGTGCAGTAGTCGCCAAGATAATGGGTTCGGTTTATCACAACCGATAAATGTGCAGATATGGACCTAGTGGCGATTCAGCTTTACAATGTTCAGTTTTGAATTCCTGAAACGGTGGTATCACGGTGTGTTTTCGTGTTACAATATTACAATACTTATATTTTATTGTCGTTAGACGTCACTACATCTAGCCGGCACCATGACCGGCTCGCGTGTCGTGTAAACAAAACAGGTGTAAATAACAAGTGATGTGTCGATTTCCAGATGGCGATAAAGACTCTGATGGGCCGTCAGAGAGCGGTGATAACACATCTGAGTCAACACAGGGGCCACCGAGCGAGCCCGCACAAGAAAAAGGTATGAAAACAATGAAACTAACGAACCACAATTATTCCAATTTACTTATTTAGGTTTATGCTAAAACAATAGGTATAGCGCTGAATGAATTATGAAACCAGCAACAATTGCCAATCCCTTATCAGATCACCGTAAACTCAACTCGTTATCGAGAGCTAACAAGTGTTTGCAATATTTTTAACGGTGCACAACAAAACGCAATTAAAGTATGGACTATGCATCCAATATTGGTGATACTTATAAAGTAAGTATGAGATATACAACAATAACAAACAGAGAACTAAAACACTAGAGGTATTTTTCCTTCTACCGAGTGTTTTCAACCTAATCTAATCCGTGAAGGATGATGATTGCTATAAAAACGTAGTAAATTACAGTAATTTAAATGCAAACTTCAGTATAAAACAAGTGAAGTAGGTAGTAAAGTTTATAGCAACAAAGCGCGATAGCACATTAACAATCAGGAAAGCGGTTTAAATGAGCTCCGACTTCAGTGATGTTTATCAAAAACTTTAAAAAATTCCACATTAAATTACTTGTGGATTGCTTACCACAACAACGAATGCAGAAGTTAATCAAGTTCATCAAACACAAATGAGATAAATCTGTGTTGGAATCAAGCATTCAATGAGCAACACACAACATGGATAATCTATATAGGTTATGTATTCAATGCAGGCGGTCTGTCACTGTCAGTCTCGATGAGCGATGATGAAAAGATAAATGCTCCGGGCTCCGGAGGCATGGCCATGACAGATGATTTACCTCGCAAACTACACTCGTGTCCTAATTAAGTTTCTCATCAAATAATACAGAAAATGAGAAAATTGGACTCGTACGTGGCATACTTATTGTCAGCCTTCTCATGGTTAAATGTAATAAAACGCAAAACATGATTCGCACATTACCTATGTGAGTTGAAAAACCTCATAACTAGTTATTCGTTAATTAATTATTTTGTATTTAAGATGACCAAGATTAACAAACGAATAATAATTGTTACGACTGCTAGTCTAGGCAGCTGTTTAATATTTTGAACAACGTGGAAAATCTGCAAACGTGCGTCATTCGACTGGATCTTTCGATTCCACCGACAGCTGTAGCGGTCCCGCGATACCTGATGTTCAAACAATTACACCCCGTGTTCATAGAACGCTATATTATTACGACTTTTTTCGGAATGAAATGAAATTGAAAACGTTGTTTTGTAACAGAGAGATGGCTACGTTGCATTGTTGTCGGTTAACTATCTCCAAAGAAAAGGAAAATATTACTCTTTCTTTGTTATTTTCCTTAAAAGAATTGCCTCTTTTTCTGTCGAATGTAAAATGATTGTTTGCGTTGTGATTGCAGAGATACTGGACAGCTTGCGGCCAGGGTCCCCCGAGGCACCCACGAGCAGCTGCGCGCCCCAGCGTTTCCTCAAGATCAACGTGAGGCACATCACCGATGGACAGGTATGTAGCTAACTTCCATGCTATAATTCAACTAAATCGGGAAGGTTGCCCAGTAAATGAATTGTATCCCTTACAATTTCATAACTGCTTTACAATTTACAAAAATAGTGCTCATATCAGCGCCAACAAGCTCTATCTTTGCGATGCAACAACTTATAAATCATTGTGAAATTTCAAACACACACTTTCATCTCGTACAGTAATTGATTTGTTTGTAGCCTATTGTTCACAAACTATTTTTATATATCGCGTTCACGTTATCATTTTATGTGGACTCGCTTCGATAAAGCTATTAAAATGGTCATGTTACCAATAACAGTGTGTGAAAAAAATTCTGTGTAGTAAACAATGTAGTTTATTTACGACCATTGCAGGAATCCTAAATATTTGTTTACAATCGTGCCTTATAAAACAAACATTACGACTCCCCGCCAATCATTCTACCGATATCTTTATTTCTATGCGTGCCTAGTACTTGAAATATCTTTGCTTTTTATTTAATAAGTAATACAGCGCTCGTAAACTACTTCCAACAAACAATGTCTTGCCTCATTTGCACTTGTAAGAGTATGTCGGTCAAGTATATTTATGCAGTTGAGGCTGCAAGTATTCTCGTCAATAATACAGTTGTGTAATAGAACTCGTGCCAAATCACTTAGTCCTTCGTTATCAGGGTTATATTAGCGTCTCTCCTAGATGTATATTCAGTAATTAGGTATTTTAAAATCGATGAGTTCATACCTTTCTATCAGAAGTTTAACGGTCGAGGAATTTTCTGATCTTTTTAATCAGATTAGGGATGAGACTTAATCTTATTCGGTTTATATAAAAAACATTCTTAAGTCAAAATATTTGAGAGATATGTTACGAGATAAACTGGAATGAGACGATTATTTGAAAAGAATCCTTATTTTCTTTAGCCTATTGTCTAATTTCCGACACTTAAATCACTAGTGACGAGTTAACGAATGCCCTGGATGGTCTTGTGACTAGGTCATTACTTCGATTCCTTTATTCTGTAGTCGTTGGTGATATAACGTGGGTTGCCGTATAAGAAATAGTAAGTGAGTTCAGATAAGCATTTAAGCAATGCCTCCTCAATAATTAATATGATCTCTACTTGATCACTACACTTGAGGCTTGGGATAGTATGGTAGATTAAGTAACTGAAAATTTAGAAGATCTTTCCGCCCATTTCTTAGTAGCTATTTTAAGACATAATATGGAGGCCTAACCGATATTCCAATTTGTATTTTCGTTTACCAGGGCGTGGTATCCGGAGTTCTGCTGGTGACGCCTAACGCGGTAATGTTCGATCCCAACGTGTCGGACACGCTAGTGATGGAGCACGGGCCCGAGTCGTACGGCGTCATCGCCCCCATGGAGTACGTCGTTAACGCCGCCATCTTCTACGATATCGCGCACATGCGCACGCACGGACCCGACCATAACACGCACAAGTACGTACATTTTGTTAGCCCTGTCTATGATGCAGTCAACAAATTTCTTTCATTTTCATAACGTACTTATTGGTAAACTAGTTACTATTAGTTTCGCTGGCCTTATTGTAGTAAATAATGAGATTGGCCCTTTTTTGTGCAAATTTAATTTAGATCCGTTCAGTAGTCTTTATGTAAAAGAGCAACAAAAGTGCGAATCTTAGCCAACCAAAGGTACTTTGTTAGCCAAATGTGTTTGTCAAACATTCTGTGGCACATACGAATTAAAAATTTATGATTGTAAACATTTTATAGTCTCAGAATATGTGGTAGATAAAACTAAAAATAGCTACTTTCCTGTTGAATGAAGGTATACTGTGTACCTATTTATGTAACAATTGCTAACAATAGTTGTTTATTTTTTAATATCATTTCAATGCTTAAATTTTCCTCATCAAGCTCTATATTTGTAAGGTGTCATGTACCTATAACATTATTTTAATAATATTTATAATTGCAAAATATTGTTAGTGAGTTTGTGTGTATGTTTGTATGTTACTTAATCACGTCAAAACTGTTGAAGTGATCAGGCTGGAATTTGGAACAGGGCTAGGTTTATGGTATGGAGTAACACACAGGTTACTTACTTTATATATCCTAGAAGGGACGCGGGTGAAGCGGCTAGCGGAAGCTAGTTCTAAATATGTTTCGTAATAAATATACTAATTGTCCTTGATGTTTATAATTCCTTCGTCATGGTTCTAGGTTACAACTATTAGAAAACGAATTTAAAGTTAATTAAGTAGATTTGCACAATTTTCACGGTTGGCTTCGAATAAAACGTCAACTCTTGTTTTATATTTCTTTCAATATCTTCGCTATAGTGGTTATAAGTGGTGTACATAGTTTTATTTTTTATAATTTCAGAGCCGAGCAGGCTGAGATCTACTACATGAATAAGACAGAACTGTCACCAGGAAAGGACTCGCTTCTAGTCAAAGTAAGATATAATAAAAATATCTTTTAAATTTTACACAAACAAAAATACTCAAAGACATAATATTCATTTTATAGGTAGACTAGGCTCGTTTAGATATAATTTTGAATGGAGTTTAAACTGTCAAACACCAAGCGGTCACCGGTGACCGCGACCTATTGTTCTTTAATTGTGTCTATAAAACCGGTACTCGACGAGTTAATATCTTATCTATGTAACAGCCAAATGTACCTAATGACACAATAATAAGTTGCTGAAAAGAGGTGTTAATCATTAGCATTAATTACAACAAATCCTGAAGTATCTAGAATAACTAAATGTTATATGTTCCAGGATGAAACATTCCCGGAGCTGCAGGCGGCGACGGGTGAGAGCGCGGACGGTGAGTCCGCCGCGGACCCGCGCCCCGGAGACGAGGCGGAGGACCGCGGGGGCGCCGCCTTCCCCAAGGCATTCGATAGGGAACTCGTCACGCCTACTGCTCTGCAGGTACACTAGTCATTTCACATCGTAATCATATTTAAATGGGGGCAATTGTCTTAAGGGCCACTAAGCTGGACTAAATTGGTAGTTTTTTAAAGAAAGCAAGGTGATCTCCCCAGATATTATTTAAAGTTCTCTATATATTTGTGAGAAAACCCTGCAGATACCTCTATATGAGAATAAAACGTGTGATGCTAGAAAAACGATTACTATCTGAGTAGTAATAATTACAGGGTTATTAAATAATATCATCATTTTTGTTTTAAGCAACAGTCGACTGAGGACAGGCGAAAATCATTACTGGACCAACACTGGGCCATTCCGAGCAAAGACAGGATGTCCATCGATCAAGGAAGTGAGGTGAGATATAATTATTAATGATTTTGTTCAACTTTTAATCGCCCTTCATTAAGAAATAACTACGTATCAAATGCAATTTCACGGCTAAAACGTCAACTTCATAGGTTTAAAAAAATCTAGCACCAACCGTTTTCTAAATTTTATTGAATGCAATAAAATAATTGTAATTATGATTACAGATATCATCTACGGCGGACGCTGGTAAAGAAGAGAGCACGGGTCCCGAGCCGGAGGCGGGCGACAGTATCGCGGCCGCGGATGGATCCGAGGCCGGGGACGCGCCCGAACAGGACGCCCAGCATCTCGTCAAGCTGTCCTACCACGACTCCGGCATCGACATCCGAGACCCATTGCTGCATGTTACACCTGCTAATTCTAAGAAAGTAAGTGTCCTTCTTTCTGTTAAAATGACTGGTAAATTTTCATAGAAGATTTAATGCTGAGACTTGAAAAAATCATAACAGCATGCTTCCATATATTTTGATACATGCATGTCACAACGATGGTCCGAATATTTGTAGTATAACCCTTTATGAAGTGTCATCATTATTAAACTATATTTAATTGTCCATGGCCATACCAATCATTCAAATGTACAGTTAAACTAACACAATACATATTAACATTATTTTATTCCCAGCCCATAATAACACCACATTAACACTAACCATGTTTTAGGGTTCCCTCATAGATTGCGATGATTATTATCATGAGATAGATACCATATACGAGTCGAAGGAACTGGAGATCGATAGGGACTGGCACCGGGACGCTGCGCATGCGTTGCAGTGTTTCATAGTACTACATAAGAACGCAGACGCTCGCTCTGATTCAGTGTACTCATCGTGCGATGAGGTGAGAGGGAATGACGTCATACATGTGTCTAAAGTGACGTCTAAACTCTCGATACTATCGGTGTCTGTGTCGGTAGTTGACTCTCAAAAGGATTGGGGCTTTATCTAAATTCTTCACCTACGCATTCTTCATTTCGGCACTATGTTTTCTTCTAAAAACTTTTTCAGTTCGTCACTGGTTCGATGGCGTTAACGTTAACTACGATTAGCATAGGTCACAGCAGGCTTAAGTTGTTACCGTTACAAAGTGTTAACGTTAACGCCAATGAATTGGTGAAAATATTCGCATTTGTTCTCTTTGCCTCTGGTATCTGGGACGTATTCTGTATATCGTACTTTCTTATTCCCTACAAGTTGTGTTGTAATGACCTGATCTTGGCGTACTGAGAAGATATGACGTGGTTAGTGAAGCCCGTGTCCCGTGCAGGTGTACAGCGACGCGGACATCGTGCTGTCAGCGGAGTGGGTGCCGCCGGTGTGCCTGGCGCGCGGCGAGCCGCCGCTGTCGGCGCCGCCACACAGCGACGCCGAGCGCGCGCGCAAGACGCAGGCCGTCTCCTTCTCGCTCGACAACGCCGCCGGCAAGGACGATGCTAAACCTGATAAGAAGAATAAGGTAATACATATACTGGTTACTGCCGTACACACCCTCAATTATTATTGGGATTGAAAATCGTTGATGACAATGAAAACGAACTAGGACGTTATTCAAATATTTATATACGATTTGAGATGTTCTTTGTTGATTATATTTATATGCCTTTTCCAAAAGTTGTTTTGGGGCAGCAGACAACATCCGGTTAATAAGATTCAATTTATTATATTTCTTACATAGATAGCCTTCGCCAAATCGCTAAGCTACGACTTATTACTACGGTTTCTAAACAGATGCTGAAGCGTCTCTCGTACCCTCTCTCGTGGGTGGAAGGTCTGACGGGCGAGGGCGGTGCGCAGGGCTCACAGAGCGACTCCCTGCCCACGTCCGCCGACAGCCACAACTCTACCAGCGTCTTCTCTAAAGTATTCAACAGGTACGTACAGACTCACACACATACCGACTGATACTTGGGATTATCTTACAACTCCAAACATAATACGGAGTAAAGGACCTAATACTTCAATCAACTGTCATCATCAGCTTGAAAGTCACTGCTGGACATGAATGACGTAAAGTTGTCAAACAGATAATAGGTACTTTAATATCACAAACAAGGTGTCCTTTCTCCACACTATCGAAATGCAAATATTTACTTTGTTAGAGAATTTGTATCCACATATTGTTCTACTGTTTGTCAGTGGCATTCAACATACAGTTACATTGTTTGTATGCGTCTAATGTTGTTTACTAAACATCTCGCATCTATTCTTTGTTGTTACTAATTCTTCTATCAAACTCAATTTGTTGCTTGGACACACAACGTCAAATTTGTTTGTCATTACTCATGAACTGTATTGTATTGTTGACATACCTCTCATGTGATGTAACTGGCAATTTGCGAGCGACGTGATCATCGTGTTGTACAACGTCTTACCGATGTTTGCACAGCCAGCTACCACAGTACCGCTACTGACTACAGACGCCGCCACTGACATGTGACACACATATACACATGCTGGAACTAAACCAATTAATATTGCAATCGTCAATTTTTCCTTTGCTACCGTGGATGCTTACCGGGACGTACCGACATTATACGACTCCGCCATATTCATTGATCGTTAGCTCACCAATGAATCTCGTGGAGTTCGGTACTGGTTTGTTCCTGAGTAAAACCCCGTCTGAAGAGGCGCCCCACGACGTGTTTTCTACTTCGGGGTACGTGACGCCTCGTTCCGCTGCAACAGTCGATGTGCCCACTTGTAATGTGTTGCCTTTGACGATATACTCGTAGACCACGCCGCCATCCTGTTCATTCTCTTTAATATTTTGACTTATTGATTTATGTTGGCATTCGTATTTTATAACGTGGATTATGTTGGATGTAGAGCGTAGCGAATGTATTGTAACTGGAACAACAAATATGTTTATGTTCCCGATAACTTATCGGACGATAAATGTAATTTGTTGTTTTCAATGGGTTTTTGAACCTCTAACAAATAATGTAGTATACGTCGTAACTATTTGTTTAAATATCGATAAGATCTCTAATTTTAGACCAGATTTGGTAGTGAGTCAAAATATTGAGGTGTTTATTATGACGCCGTGGTCTCTCTGTCTGGCCTTTTATTCGTTATCACTCTTCTAGGCATTTCCACCGGCATCAATGTGTTTGTTTTTATTTACCTCTTGTCAGGCGGATTTTGAACTTTATCTACGATGGAACAGACAACAATATCAATTAAAACTTATCTATATTCATTGTACATATATAATTAATTTTACTGTTCCATCGTATAACTTCAGAATCCAATTCTCTGTTAAAGCTAAGGAGCATGATGTATATGTGTAAGGAAGTTTAGTCATCATTTTCCAGATAGAACCTCTAGCGTTACAATCTATGTATCATGTCATCTCCATTACTATAGGACTGATGTTCTAGGATCACGACACTCCATCACCTTGTTACGGCACCCTTTGATATGTATTGTGTACTGTTTTGGCATGTTTAGCTTCAGACGTCTGCTATACGAGACGTGCCTTGCGTGTCTTACTCTTACTTACTATTTGCTAAGATTTGTGAAAGTCTCAATAATCTTCAGTTTTCACTTTTGCAGGTGCAGGACTATATCGATTTAATCTGCTTTATCTTTAAACTTATCTCCACTTGAAAGTAATTTATTATTTCCTTACTCAATGTATTACTATATGTTATATATCCAGCTTTATTGTTCCCTAAACTCAGAATAAAACTATTTACTTTTCTGTTTGTGTCTGTTTTTCCCGTGTTTCACATGATAAATCTTCTTGACATTTTTCAAGTATAATTATGATCAGAGTATGCATTTATATCATATATCAATGCAGTACTCACGACTTACAATACTGTAACTGGTGCAAACAGCAATGTGCACTTTCGCCTTTGTTACTTCGTTTCATTTAACCGCAGGATTTTTAGAATAGTCATACAAAAGTTTAAGGTGTCGAAATCACTTTGACAAAATTTTTGTTTTATTTCAATAATCTTGCATCCCAACTTATAGCTTTATAGACGTATAAAATAATGTTCGTATTAAAATATAGACGCAGTTCCCTGGGCGGGTTCGGTCGCTCGCATACGAAGTCTACCAGCAGTGCCGGCAGCGCGCCGCCACCACGTCTCGACTACCGCAGCATGGTCTCTGTCGATGACATGCCTGATCTGTTCGCATCATTTGATAGTAAGTCTACTTCTTATTTTAACAGATATAAGGTTTATATTACTTGCAGGTGTTTATAACACGGTCTGGTGCTTTAACGTTAAATAAAAGTGGAGAAAATGCTTATGCTTATGAAGTTAAGGTCTACATATCTATATCTTTCATTTTCTTAAATCTACTCTCTCTATTTCTCCCCTTAGCTCTCTTTATTTCTCTCTCATTTTGTTTATATTAAAAGTATCCTAATCTATCATTACACATCTGTCACCATACCAGCTGATTTTAGACATTAGTTCAATAACCTCACTTGCCTTACTTACTGACCAGGCTTTCTTTACTACAAGCATATAAGCAAACACTATGAATAATCGGCCCCTTATCTTGAATGCCTTATCAAATTGCCAATAAAAGAGTTAATCTTACACCAACAACATAAAGCCTGATTAACCTTTTGCCCTGAATAATGATGATAACACAAGTCAACAATTATTACTTACCATTCATTACATGTCTAAATTGTTTACCTGCTTCTTAAATAGTCCAAATACTCAAACGCCACCGAATTTTAAGACGCATTTGTACCTACTTCTGTCACTACGAATTCTTTGTAAAATAACGAAGAGAGCACGATATTTAAGTACAACTTAAGATTGAGTAGCCTTTCAGTATTCCGGCATAAGTCATGAAATCCGTTTAGTAAATAGTATTTGTCGTTTTCATTTAAAGTCGTTTAATAATATATTGTCATAGGTGCATTAGTAATTGTTTTCATATTTATACACTCAATATTTTTTATGACTATAAACTTAACTAACGATGTTTACTCGTAAATGCCCGTCTTAAGATTATTGATCGAATGTAGATAAAACATTTATTATCTTTAAACAAGGAAACATAATTTGATCGTGACATTGCATGTTGAATATAAAAGGCAATCACCTTTTATGAAACAACGAAAATGGATGTGAAGTGTTTTCGTACAATATATCTATAAGCGCTGAACATAGGTTTCCCCCAAAGATTCTAAGATCGGGCAAATGCCAAATCCTGTATTGAGAGAGATTTAAGATCATCAGTGGAAGTCTATTGTAGCTGATATGATTATGACGATAGTGATGATGGTGATTATAGTGGTGATGTCTGAAATATAACAATGTTTTGTCTATCAGAGCTAATTCCCCGGCCGGCACGACCAAGTGACGACCCGCCTCTATACCTGCGCCTACGCATGGGCAAGCCCATCGGCCGTCCACTCCCGCGCACCACCCCACTGATGTCTTACGGACGCAAGCGCATGAAGCCCGAGTACTGGTTCGGAGTACCCAGGAACAGGCAAGTACTTTCATGATGATAAAATGATATTGGTTTCAGGAAATAAGTCAAAAACAATATCCTTTCTTCAGTCGGGTAAAAAACACATGAATATGTCAATATTTTGAAGTAAGCTAAATGAGACACGTGGTTCCTAAGTGGCTATTCTAAGGAGAAACATGCAATGAACAAAATTAACTACTCTTTTTTGGGGTCCAGATTTAAAGTAATGTGATGAATCGTTACCTACCTCACTCTGATATCTTCAAACCGCGTTCTGATTGGATACACGTTTATCAAAATAATAATTGAACACACGCGGATTAGTCATTAATTGCATCTGTCTACAAACACAATCAGCTAAATGTCTTCATGTTTAATTGGTTTCGCTCCTGCGATTGCTTCTAACTGGGTCAATATTTCGCCATGTTTTTTATCTTGATACTTCTCAATGAATGAATCTTTGTATAAATGCCTTATAAGATAATGTTTGTTGTAGGGTGGATGACCTATTCAAGTTCCTAACCCACTGGGTGCCGGACCGATACGGTCCTCTCGGTGACGTCAGCGCTCAGGGCTACGAGCTCATTGACAGCGACACCGAATGGGATGACGATGAGGCTAAACCTGGACATAAAGTAAGCTGCATTCTACACATTTTACCTTTAAACATTATAAAGTGCCTCTCGCACCTGCCTAAGTACATATGTTAGGTGTGTTTGCCCCAAAACGCCTCTGAATTTGTACACATTTAATAATGTCACCGCTTCAAACACAGATTTATCTCGGCTCCTGTCATCACTCATTAAGATAAGAATTTTCCGAGCGTATTTATGATCTTTTGTGATTTCCTAAGTAAGAATATAATGAATGAGAAATTCCTCGTAGGACGAGCGGACTGGCAGCACGGGCGACGTGTCGGACCTGACGCGCGAGTCCTGGGAGGTAAGCGCTCACACTCTGCCTACAGGGACAGCTCCTTATTACATTAATTTTACACCGTTTTTATAACTAACAAACGCTTTTTTTAACACACTGTTATATCAACGACAATGCATCTCACATCCCACATTACAGTACACATTGAACATGGATGTTTTTCTATTACAAATCTACCTTTATTTAAATTCTTTTTTGGCACTGTCAGTTAATATTTATAGATGTGATTTACATGCGAGAATACGTCTAGATGTCGCATTATATAGACAACAGACTATTTATGATGCTCCTTGTACGTAGACGTGAGATATAAGCGCTGTGACGCTGCAGGACCGTGTTAATTCTTACTAATAGACAAACATATTTGCAGCTTATGACGTGTAAACTATTCTGGGCCTTTGAATATTTATGTTTACAAGAATTAATAACGATATCTAATTAGAAGTTCATTTGCTAAATTACTATCATTATCTAACTGCTAAGTCTACAACTGAATGATCAAGGTTTAATCAAATTACTTACGACAATGACATGTTTACACCGCCTCTGTGATAACGATGGGTGTCCACGGTGTGAATATCGTAAACTTGTACTGTAGATATGCAGGCCCACATGGTAGATAAACTGCCAAATGTTTTTATTTTTACTTATCTATTCATTTACACGTGCAAGTATTAATACGAACTGAGAGTATTATTTCCAGTCTGTACCTAAAAATATAAGATAACATAGAGGTGCAATATCCTGCACATTAATACCTACATTTATTTACAACAGCACAAAATGTGTAGGTAATGGCAAGTTAGTGAGTTAATTACTCGTTAAATTAAATTATGGTATCTATTACTTATATTTACCATATCAAACGAAAGTCAATAATGATAAAATAGTTCAGAACAAATACATTATAAGTGCTAGTATGTCTCACACGTAAAATGAGAAGTTATGGGAATGTTTGTGAAACACTGAGAACAATAACACGACGGCATACAATACCAACATACATTGAGTACTAATGCACAATGCGGTTACGCGTAGCTGCTGAAGGCGCCCTACGTGAAAATATATTCGATAATGAAGAGCCAGGCAGAGGCGCTGGGCGACTCGCTCGGCGAGGAGCCGCGCCAGGAGGTACCGACATCAAACATTGGATGAATATGACTCTGTCGCACCTACGTGACAGTCGACTGTCTAAAAATATTATAAACATTTATTTATGACTCAAAAGTGATAAAGATTCACAATAAGCCTTATAATCGCCAATAAAACACTTACTAAATTATCTCCATTTTGGAACAACAGAATAACGTTTTTAGACATTCGACTGATAACTGGGTTTTGGTGAGATTACGACGATTTCTAATTATGAATGACAGGAAACTGTTAGAATTTCCTAATTTATCTCCATTGTGCATGTGACACAGCTGACTTTAGTCCGGCCTTGACTGCCTATCATTAACTTGTTCGAGAACGTAACAAGTTACTGGGTATTTTAGGCAGGTGATATTATTCTGTTATGGAAGTTGTGATTTGTACACAAAGTCATATTCATCCACTGTGGCAATACCTCGTAGTGCGACTGTTAAGCACATCTTAGTGAAATGTTAAACGCACTGCCCATGCCCTTAGATTGCATCCAAACTATGTAGCAACCTGCGATGTTGAGAATGTTTTCATCATACTACTGTTCTTGGCTAGAAATGTTAATGTTTAGCGTGCACACTACTTGTGTATGTCTTGATAAATACATGTTTAGGAAATGCACTATCTGTTTCAGATAAAACCGTGTTGTGTACATAGTTTAATAATACATAGCCGCGATAGCTACTATATTGTACTTTCAAACTTTAGTATTGACGATAGTTCACGCCGCTGGTGCTGCAATGACTATTTCCGAAGGAAACACCTAATTAGCCACACTACTGCTGTTTGTGTATCGCAATTTATTATGTTGTGTAAAGTTAATAACTAAATTGGTACTATAGACAGACTAAAAGCATGTTTCTATATGTGGAGTTACTGAAACCGATAACGTAGATTTTTGCATTATCGGGTACAAAACGAAGAGTAGTAATTACACAACGCGAATGGAATGATGTTAGCAGAACACCTATAGTTATGGTTACGTTACAATGGACGGCGAACAATGGCACTGGACGCTGTAATCTTCCCTCACTCTATTCATCTAGTATTTTGAAAAATTGTACTTCATTACTGCCAGTGTTGTCCTTGAAATTACGCCTGCAAACCTGCACTTTATAGTTTTAATTAAACTAACTGTAGTCCAGAACCTGTAAGAATTAGCATCTGTTTTACGATCCGAGTGTTGTTGTGATGGATGATGAGTAAGTCGTGTACATTCCGAGCTTGCACTGTTTATAAAATAAAATAATTCACGTCAGGCGGTCATGTCTGAACCGAAAATTCTCGAAGTGTTTATATGGAAGTGTTGAAAGCTAGTCATAAAATTGATAGCTTAAAATAAGGAATGCGTTTACAACATAATTTACAATCGAAGTATATAAAAATATGTACTAGATAGTCTCATTTGCATCGTGGCTAGTGCTGCTAATGCGTCACAGAGCGGTGTTAGCTGTGCGTGGCGGTGGTATTGTTGACGCAGCGTTTGTCCACCGCAATACAAATTGTGTGTTTACCAGCGATGCTGACGCCGCTGCCCGCCTTTTGTTACATTATTCATAACCGGCATGGCATACAGATTCATACATAAATAATTATAAACACTGTCTACGTGATATTGACACTGTTTCTAATGAATTCCATATTGAAACGTTTATTTACTCGTTTTGTAACTATCAACGATTAGTACTTTAGGTTTAAAGTTTTTTTCAATTCCAATATCTCTAAAAAGAAGTTTAGATATATGAAAAGTCTGTATCACAAGCAAACTTTTTAACATTCATAAAAAGCTAAAAAAACTCCATGCTGCTTGCTTAGTGACATCAGATTTTTAGCACATTGTTTTGGCATAAATAAATATCAAAATGTCTGTGGAATTAAAAGAAGAATTACAAAAACCCGCAATGGATATAAACGTAAGCTTTAAATAAATATTGCATAGTCGCAGTATGTTAGATCACATAGGTATTATATAACTTGACATTATTATACCTGCAAATCAATACTTTACGCGTTTCAAAACGGCTGTTTATTCTCTGTACAAAATAAGTATTGCTATCATTTAATTGAACGAAAATACGATAAGCCATACAATACAACTAATAACGTGATAAGCTAATTAATCCTTTACAATATAATGAAACTCATCGTAATAATTCCGTCGAGTCAACACTTTGATGTTGTTAATGCAAGCTGCTGCTTCAAGTAAACAACTTAATATTCTTTAAATTTTCCTTAATTAAAGAAGAGGCAATAATATATTATAAATTAGATGTTATTGGAATTGCAAATGTGTGGAATTTTTAGATGTCGACCAAAATAATTTGCCGTTACGTAAACTCAGCTTAATGACTAAATAATGGACCTAACTATTATGCATATGCAGTCAATTTTACTGTCAATGTTACTGGCATTCAGTAAAAGGCACTAAATAAATACGGGACTTAGATAAAGTTTTTTGTTAATATAACTGCAAAATCTGCATTTTGCGATGCACACGATGTATATACATTCATATTGTACACTATTGTACAGTGCATGCTTTTTGTTAATATAACTGCAAAATCTGCATTTTGCGATCCACACGATGTATATACATCCATATTGTACACTATTGTACAGTGCATGCTTAATTGAATTAAAGTTGAACCTTTTGTGACCGATAGCCACAACATAGCACAGTAACTGCGATAGAGATTATCCAATTGTCCAGCAACGTCCTCGTGTACGTAACTGCAGGGATATTCCACAACCATAGACCCAATTGATACTAACCAATTACTTATTTAATGCTCTGCTGCCACAGGAACCGAATTAACTCATTTTGGTACGAATATACGACAATTTGTTGATTATTAGGCATCACATTGTATGTAAAATGATAATGATCGTGACCAAAGCCACGGTGAACGCGTGCTCTTATTTGGATCGCATGTGTAATGCCATTAACTAAGACAATTTAATTTGACGTTGATCCGTGTCGCGCTCACTGAAATTGTACCACAATCTGTTCGGGCAGACGTTTCCGCTATGAAATTGGCAACTGCCAAGCCTCTGACTCCATACAAGAACATAATATGTACATACCTGCTTACCTTGAAAATTTTATATTACCTATATAAAATTTAGAATGGCCTAATTATGTATTCTAGTCTAGGATACTGAATCACACAGACTTCAATAACGACATATTCACGTGTTTTCTTATTTGGTATTTAGAAATATAGGTATCAGTGTAACCCGTTTTGCAACAATTATGCCAGACTTAAGGCTTATGGCTATATTATTTTTTCTGAAAACCTGTTTTCTAACAATCAATGCAAGTGTTCCTTTATTAGAATGTTTATGGATAATATTTTTTTAGCTGTTGTTGACATTCTTATATTGCAACGTAGACAGTATGCACCTACGTGGTGGTAACTGACTTTCTATAGAATTGCAGTTAGCGATATCATCCGGCACAAAGAAAGATTGCATTGTGTCTAGCGGCATGTGTGTCAATATTTTGTTCAACTTGCGTATATTGCGAACTAGATATTTCTCAAAAAAACTATAATTATGCTCATTGTTGAGACAATATCTCATGTAGGTATGTCTTCTATCTTTATAGCTTTAGCTGTCATTTTAAAACAGCGAAGACTTTAATTACATAAGTAACTAACCACATATCTTGGTCTATTAAAACCGGTACAATATTCTAAGATCTAGTATAGGCTAGTTTTCTAATCACTACGTTTTTATGCTTAGAGCTTGGACAAGATTATTCAAACATTTTTGTTGTAAAGTCGTAATAATAATAAAATCGTAAGATATAAACAAAGTCACGTGCCAGAAGAATTTTAAGACATTGCTCTTAATAAACATTGCCTTAAGCTGGTATCGGTTACACTGTATATGAAAAGTCATAAAGTTAATAGATGTGTCACCCTCGGTTATATCACACAATATATTTTATGATGCGTTAATTAATTTGCATGTTAGGTTGTTGCCGAGGCATTTCAATTGTCTGCACCCCGGTTGAGTGTCGCCGTCGTAATCGCCGCGTTTAGCCAAGATGTTAATCGCAACTAATTGTAAGCTCGTTGGCTCTACATGCATAAATGTCAGGAGATTTATGCAGTGCAGCCTGTCACATGAGGTATTGTACACGATAGACCTCAGTGAGCCACATACTGGCGTGCACGCATTATATTGCACTTCTTTCGAGATTCAAGACAATAACAAGTGCAGCACAAGGCTAGGCGAATACATCTGCATACTCAATACACGCGTCGCCTGTCTGAACATCTGAGCTGTAATGTGAACGAGTCTTGCATTTATTAACAGGTTTAAGATATAATATAGGTAGTGATTGTGTAGCTGACGATTTACAATATTATATTAACTGCCCTGGGCGCCGTCAACTTTCGTACATAAGACCTTCCAAAGTAACAGGTAACGCTTTTATTTTATCTCATAGATAGCTCTTTGTACTGTTAATTTGATTGGGTTTTAAATCTTTAATGCCAATATTGTTACACGCTTGTTTATTCAATATTTATGTTATCAATTAAAATTGAATAAAGTCAAAAATATTTTTTACTGAAAATTTATGTAAGATTGTATAGAGAGTCAATCAGCATTTGCTAATACATGGCTAATATTAAGCTTATTTGAAACCTTTCTTTACGTATTCGAACTTATGCTTAAATAAAAAATGCTTGTAAGGGAGTTCGTTTAAGGTAGTGTCACCTTCGGTCGTTGGGCGAACACTGGAACATTTTCAAGGCTAACATCCTAACTCCTGAAATAGTTGATTCACTACGACAGTTATTTGTTTACTTTAGCCTCATCACTAACTACGTGTTTATATCCTAATGTCGTAATTATAAATTAATAATGAAGTAAACATTTACCTTATACTTTAATTATAGATAGCTATTAGCAGTACAGTATTAAATAATCCCAAGTTCGCACCAAACTCCCAGTAGCAGGCTGTCCGATCAGCGAGCGTGTTCTGTGTTGAGTTCTTCAGTATTCGCCTAATTGGTCGGATTTAATCGTTTCCGCACGTATGGTGTTGGTGTACGGACTGTGTACAGCGCGTATTTGTGGCGGGCGTGCGGCAGGGTCGTCAGCGGCCGCGTGTTTCGCTCCTTTCTTTTAGACACTAGTTTCCCAGCGACGTCGCTTCGCCGTGCTCGCTTCGCGCGTCGTTCTCTTCGAATTATATTTGATCCAAGTATCCGAGTATTAACTGCGGCGTGAGTTCGACCGGCTGTGAACTGCATACATTCAGTTTCCGCGATTAATCCGTGCTCATTGTGACCGGCTGGCACGTACAAACGAATACAAACACTTTTGTTTATAAGCAGACGCTTGCGACTCTTGTGTTCAGTGTTTAGTTATGAAACCTTGTAATCGCGTGGGTGATTTCTAAATTAAGCGCTGGCAATTGTGATGTGGACGACGTGTTTTTGTGGTGCATCGTACGTACAAGTTTGAGTTGAGTTTGTGCGCTCTTTGTGAAGTGCATAAAATCATATGATGCAAACAGTCAAGTGGATAGAGATGGTGCGGCTCGGGCCCACTACTACCGAAAGATCTTCGACTTACGACGACGAAAAGGTGAGCATGGTACCGTTAGTAGGCCTACATTAGTTATTTATTATTATTGTAGGCGCAATCTGTCATCATTTATTGGTCAAAATATTGTATTTAATAAAAGCAGTTCAATGCCGTATTATACACTTGCGAGGTGGGGATTACGTCAACAAAGTATCATTTATGTACAAACACGTTTTAAAAGATAATTGTTTAATGCCGAACGCATGCAAAATTACGAATATATTTTTGCCGTACTGCTGTCGACTTCATCTTTGTGATATCTCTTGATTAGAACGTAATTATTCAATATCTATAGCGTCTGTAACACCCTTATCTAAAGTTCAAACGGTGCATAAACTACAACAAGATAAGTAAGTAGTCTGATTATCTAATTGGTTACGAAATTAAATATATCTCGCGTTCTTAAAATTCCACACACTAGCGATGGCATGGTGACCTTTCCATCTAAGGAAAAACTGGTTCTCTCATCTCATTCAATAAAAAGTGGGCTTGAGCAACTCGTTACTCACTGTCACATTAGTTATTTCTAACAAGTAATAAGATTGAACATTTTAAAATCTAAAACAAAGCTAAATGAGTATTTTTTATATTAGAGCGTTGAAGGTTTTTGGTATGCTTCATAGGTAGAGCAATTATTATTGGTTAAACTTTGTACAGTGTGTACAGTGTACATGTATTGGTTTTTATCCACCAATAAAAAATGTAACTAGACATCGAGACTGGTTTTAACGCGGACTTTAGCGAATGGATTATAAACACATTTTATAAAGTATAGAATCAAGTACTTAGTATTTACTGTAGCTGTACTTACTGGAATGTGTATAGGTATGTCGGTAGTATACCAAATACCTATTTCTTCATTCAAACGATTGTGACACATAGAGTGACGTTATGTGCACGGGTCACAATGAATGTTGTCAGCGGACTCAGCCACGTGTTCCACCAACAAATTTGTTGTTTACACTTCGATAATAGAAAAGTTTAATAGTCTAATAAATACGTTTGCGATAGTTAGTTGATTTGGAACTGTGATCCATGGTTTGTATTTTTAATAAAATGTTGAAATATGGTCTCTCACGATGACATTGGTGGAATTTCGTGTGGTAACGGCTAATTATAATCCCACATTGCTTTTTTTCTTCCTATTAAACTAAATCAAAGATGTACATATTTCTACGGATATTCTGGCCGGTATATCCTGGTCGGTAGCAATTAGCAGCCAATTCTTCTATAAATAGAGAGAGAGGCGACCAGCTGCCGTGCTGTGTCCAATCGCAAGGTCTAGGAACTATTTACTTATTCTTACTGTAATCTATAACTCCAGATATGCCTCTAAGGGTCAGGCAGTTCATGAAATACCAAGTATAGAAAATGGCGCATTGTTTTTCATAATATTGTATATTCATTTTATTGTAAATGACTTAAGTCACCGTAATGTCGACCTTTTGTCCAAAATCGGTCATGCGTTCATAAAAAGGCGTAAAGCGCGGCTTAGAAACTAATCTTTAAATAAACTTTTCCGTTGGATTGTGACATTAATAGATTGAGAGTACCACATAAAATTTACATACATTAAAAGGGCTCTCAACTTGTGTGGAATTATAATTTGTAAGGAAACATCCGGACCTTGTACATGGTTAATGAATTATATCATAAAAATATTCCATTGAAAATAAGATGTTTGTTTACTCTTTAAAATGTCTCTGGTTTCTGGGGAAATTGTTTAATTGAGAGATTAAGTAATAAATGCCACCAAAACACCAATAATTAATTATCTAATCATCTTAATGATCGCATCGTAGATTCTAGATAACGGCACAATAAGTTGTGTACCTGAGTCTAAACAATAGCCTTTTCTTGTCTTTATGAGATGTCCCACTCATTACCTAGGTATTTACTAATGAAAGACAATTCTAAATATGTAATTACGGAGACATGCAGCATTAAACACTACGTATTCTAATGATACCTCATTAAATAGTCAAAATAAAATTGACCCTCGTTATTAGGTTTTTGTAAATTTTTGCTATTAAAAACTGCAGCTCTTGTGGGACCTATGTAGGTATCTGAGAAATTTTCTACGTATTTTTAAATAAATATTAATGAGTTTTCATCTATTCTAATATTCACATCCGTCCAAATCGGTAAAATCAATTGAGGGCCAATTTTTCAATGAACAGATAAATTTTAACTCAGGAATAACTTAAAAACTGTCAACTGTCAATTTTATTCTACAGTTAAAAATTAACTGATGATTGAAAAATCGGTTGTAAGTCACATAGGTGCAGCTTACCTACTAAATACTTAAATTATCACACACCTATTTCATTTAGTTATCCTAGTCATTATTATGTAGGGTTAAAGAATTACTTTCTATACCTATATGGTTGATGTATTTTCTGAAACAAATACCTATTTATGTAGCAGCTATTATTGAATGACAAATACATTATAATATTGATACAAGGAAAGTCATTACTAGGTTGGGTAAAGGATTATTTATATGAATTTTCTAAATATGTAGAAGCAGCTAGTATTACTTAAATAATAATTGAAATACAATTTTGATACGAGGAAAATCGTTACTTATTTACTTTGTATGGACTTTTGCTGCTCGGGTTATTAAGTTAATACTATTCATACTGCGGTAATTGCAATGTATTCGCTGTGTGGGTATTTGTCCACGTAATAAACAGGACATTTCTCAATATTGCGTTAAATTACCTCCTTGACGTAACAACATTCTTCTAATAAATGTTGAAACTGCTGGAACGGTACTTTCATAGCAGAAACGTCGAAAGATCGAGTTTCAAAATGTAGAGTATACTTTGCCAGTATTATTTTTCAAGTTTAGATATTTCTCGAATACAAATACCTAATGTGCCGACGAGTAATTTCATAACTAACTATTTATTCGGTGTGCAAAGTACGTTTACCATTCCAAACGTCCTTCCGGCATTATAATACTCTTCAAGATGACGTTCTCATCTTATAGTCTTTAAATTGTATGGTATTGTAAACAAGAAATGTCTAGTACTAGCTGACCGGGCAAATTTCGTACAGCCTATAAATTTTAAGACAAAATTACCCAAATCGATTCAGCCGTTTTCGAATTTTAGCGAGACTAATGAACGTAAATTCATTTTTATTTATATAGATAGATTTCATCTGGCTATTCTAACAATCGACACAATGAATTTCACTGTCTTGTCCTCGTTTACCGGACCCAATATGGAACTAGCACGATTTTAGTGAAGTATGCCACTTTTCTTTCTACGGTAGGTACCCTCTAATGCTAACTTCCGTCCCAAGAAAACACACCAATTGAGTGCACGCACACTTCTACTATTTTCTACCAAAGTGGAGTAGATTTGTATTAATGCAAAGCAATACATGATAGATTTAATATATTGTGCTTTTCATTGCAAATTATTGCACGATATTAAATGCTTCAGACATTAGTGGCGGTGACGCAGACTAGCTATAAGCTCTGGCCTATCCCCGCGCAAAAATGTTATCAGCACAATTTATTGCCGATTTACTGCTATAATAAGTAATTCGTAATCCCTACTGTAATCCAGATACAGCTATGTACCACATCGATGCCTTATAGTTTAAGATAAAGGCGATAAAACAAGATTAAACCGACACTTCTTTTTGGACAAGGTGCCGACAGGAAACAGTTAATTGTACGCCGCGAATGCATTCAGTCGCAATAGCTGCATGCTCCGGAACATGCAGGCATAGTTTCAGTGAAGTGCATTCATAAATCGCCAAAATGTCTCCTGTAGGTATACAGCCTTAGCACATGCACTTCATGTGAACGAAGTACATACTTATAAGAAATCGAAGTAGCTCTGTGCCGAGTAAACATTTACCAACAAGCTAGTGTTCAAGGTTTCCAACAGTCCATGAATAAAAAGTTCAAAATGTTTCGCCTTTTACGTCAACTCGTGCGCATAGTCGCTGCAAAGGTGCGGAAGATTGAAATGATCGTGTTCAATGCAAGCGTTAAAAGAAGGGGAACTATACACTCAGTATGCGACCGGGGAACACTAGGACACGCCGCTCGAAGGCGGGGGACCATCCACTCCATATGCGAGGTGAGATCAACGTTGTACACTTGCTACTCGCTAGATACTCTCAAAAAACTAATTAGCATAATTCCAAGTTCACTGCCAGTCTTCACACTTTTTATTCCAAGTTTCTATACGGTTTTGTTTTTTATGAAATAATTAAGTGTAGCACAACCGAGAACAGTCTAATTGAGACATAGATGTTGTTAGTACAGTGATCCAGCTTGTATTCGCCAATTATCATAGCAATGAAATAATATTGAGTAATTAATTTGAGTTTGTCTAATAGGCACTGGTAACTAATGCCTGGTAGGTGTTAAGCTAGTTCATTGTTTTATGTTGAATGCTATTTTATTATGGATGCGAAAATCTAAATTGATTAACAAAACGAGTAGCTAAATGTGCTAATTGGGACTCTAGCAACAATCCTGTGTAGTAATTTTACAAGCGTATCTACATATAAAGTGGTAAAATTAAGATTATTTTAACGAATATTCAACTATTCTTGAACTTATTTTAATGATGAAATGATTATATATTACGTAGTTACATCACTGTCGCCGATATTTAAATACTCTATCGAATTCAATAAAATAGTTTATGAACCCGTTACGATAAAATAATTAAACTGAATGCATTTACGACTACACGGTTGGTGCAGTGGCTGGGCAACCGGCTGCCGTGCAACGTGTTGCGGGTTCGATTCCCGCACTGAACAACACTGTGTGATCCATAAATTGTTGTTTCGGGTCTGGGTGTCATTGTGTATGTGAACTTGTATGTTTGTAAACGCACCCAGGACTCAGGAGAAAATCCTAATGTGGGGCAACGTTTTATAAAAAGAAAAAAAATATATAATCCTAATTCTAAGTTGTAAATACCTATACGTATTATATGCCCGAAGGAATTTTCTTTTTCTATTGTATACACTGTAAGAGCTTCCGTTTTATATTTCATCGGAGTTTTTATTCCAGTATTAGTAGAGTATAGCTGCAGCAAGAAGCCCTAGAGAATGTTAATACCTATTGTTAAGGATCGTTGGTCACTGGTTGTGTTGTGTATTGTATTAATTATTGTAATTAGTTGAAGTAGTGCGCACGAACTCGCACTGTTCACTATGAATGTTGAATGTGAACTGTAGATCGGGAATGCATCACCTGCTAGTGCATCTTGTCGAATTAACAACGATGTTTTCAGTGTTGCCGCTTTCATGAAATGAAGTCATTTATTTTACTCTATTCCTTTCAGTTTGTTTTAAATACAAGTAGCAATACTGTATAGCACTGTTCATTTCGCAAATCATTACTGTTTGTAATATGTCACTTAAATTCATTCATTCTATGTTAAAAATTTAAGCATGAAGGAAGAATCCAATCGCAGCATTGCCGTTCATGTCTGTTTTTTCATGATAATAATTATTTTCTCATAGTTCATATTACTTATGAGTGAGTAATAACAATAGAGTAAGAAAAACTACCAAGCCCCGACAATAGTAATACGCCAGTAACTGAAATTATTGTTGTACCCTCTGCTCTTGCACGAAAATTGCAATTTCCTGTAAAAATATCTCACTCGCATCTCTCCTCCACCTTATCTGCTCATTTAAGTAAGTAGAGTTGATTTAGGACATTTTTAAACCGTACTTTATCGATTATGCTCATAGAGGACCATAATTTTCTTTCTCTTTCATTTCATGTTACGGTTAATTGATTCGACCTGTGATCTCATCAACGTGTTTGAATTGCATTATTGACGTGTGCGTGTGTTGTGTAGGTGCTGTCGATGAGCGATGAGCTTCGTCGCGCGCTGTACTCGTCGGGCGCCTCCATCGATATGGAGTTCTCCCCGCCCGACCTCATCGGCACCTCGGAGATATTCACTATGGAACACAGGTAATTTACTCAGACTTACGACTTTACTAACAACATTTTTTGTTTTGCCATGCTCGATACTGGCACCGTGTGGTACGAATGTAACCGTTCTGTTGTAATAACTGGAATATTGTACCCGCTCAGAACAATCATTGTATAATTTCACATCGACTATATTTTCTTTTTGTGGTTTCAACTTTTTTAAATTATGCATTCGCCGATTCTCGGCTCTTAGTAGGTAATAACTAACAATTCAGTCCGGCGCGCGGCGGTTTATAAACTAGTGCAAAACCTCCATAATTTTCAAGTCTATTTAGAAATATGTCAGTAAAATAGTGTTAAATAATGTTGTTATTAATGTTTCAGAGAGAAGCTGTGCTCGGTGCTACCGGCGCGTGCACAGGGCTACATGTGGCAGCTGGCGTTCAGTACGAGCCAGCACGGGTTCTCGCTGGCCTCCATGTACCGCAAGATGCAGCGCGTCGACAGCCCCGTCCTGCTCGTCATACAAGACACAGACAACAACGTGAGTCAACATTACTCATTCGGCTTATTGTTATGTTTATTGCGCAACGTTGAGCGCACACGGTATTACCAATATGCATTACCGTTTTGTTGACAAGCTTTCTTAAAACGATAGATAATTCTCGAAGAAAATTGTTATTCCTAGAATTTCATTACGAATAATAATATTCCTATTGCTGTATGGTTTGCAAAAAAAAGTATGAAACCTGCCGCCTTTGCCTAACTGACCTACCAGGGACCGATTACTCTGAATCGAAGCATCAATCATAATTTGGGTTTAAACAAGTAAGACATAGACATATTGAACGATTGAGTTTAACCAGATAGAGTTAGAATATAATGCTCCGATAGTACAAATAATCTGTAAATTTACTAGTTGGCTGTATAAAAATATACAACAGAGTTTGTTAAAAAGTTGTTTGTGTCTGGCAGGTGTTCGGTGCTCTGACATCATGCGCTTTGCACCCATCGGAGCACTTCTACGGCACGGGCGAGTCGCTGCTGTTCGCGTTCCAGTGCAGCGGCGACGAGGCGCGCCGGCAGTCGCAGGCAGCCATCGAGGCCGCCAAGGACAAGGACAACAAAGAAGACGCAACCAAGGATGAAAAAGAAGGTCAGCACTCAACTATTTCATACGACCTTGTCTAAATGACTCTTGCCCTTTTTGAGTTTATTGTGTACAGAGCCCAGACTAAAAGAAAAAGATCAATTTTCAGATCACTCACCACCTGTCAAAACCAAGTTCAAGTACTGGGGCTGGACCGGGGACAACATGTACTTTATACGCGGCAGCAACGATAACATATCTATTGGAGCTGGAGAGTAAGTTTTTTTAAGCTTGATATTTCTATTATTTTTATGTACACATTGATTGTAGTATGTTGAAATATTATGTTTACTAATGTGTTTCGTTTATCCAGTGGCAAGTTCGGTCTTTGGCTGGACGGCGACCTGTACCTGGGGCGCACGCAGCGCTGCAAGACGTACGGCAACGAGCCGCTGAGCACGCGCGAGGACTTCATCGTGAAGATCATGGAGTGCTGGACCTTCATCTGAGCGGCGCGGCGCCACAGCCCCTCGCCGGACTCGCCGCACGCGCCGGACGCTATGCGCTCCACGTTTCTACTTTCAAATCAAAAATAAGCTTTAGATTATCTTATGAAATTTGCTACGAAGATTTGACACTTTTACAAGTCAGTCTTTTCGACTTTAGTACCGATGAGTCTGAAAACGATTTTGTACTCGCATTGTGACTCGAAACGTAGCGGCGCGGATCACCATCGATCGGCCGATATGAAGACAATATTATAAACGTCTACGCGCATTTCTAGTCAAATGTACTGAAACCTGACCAATGTTTTCATCCTCTCCGAATTTAGAGGCGTGTTCGGATACGAGTGCCGCCGCTCGGGCGCGGGCCGCTGTCGCCCGCGACTCTGCTGAGCAAGTGCATTAATCCTAGTCAATTGTCATTTGTATGTAAGTGGGAGCTCTCCGCTGCCGGGGGCTCCGGGGGCTCCGGGACGGCGATATCTGTTGCGGCAACTCGGGCGCCGCGGTCGGTCGCAGGCCACCGCCGTTCGCCCGGACAGTCCGATAATTATTACGTGTCAATTCATACAATTAATATTGTGCATTGTTGTTAAGGAAATTAAAAGCATATTTGTAACTATAAAAATCTGTATGTTATGTAGAACTTTATATATTAACGAATCAATCATTACCTACATGTTTAGAGGCCGACTTATTGGCGTGTCCAGTACCGAGGCATTGTGACACATTTCATTTCACAAGTGATTCTGGTTCATTCATGACTTATCGTTAGAGGCAGCTCGGTCGTGTTCGGCAGGGCACGCAGTAGTAGTATGTGGTCCTTGCCCAAGTAACGAGCGTAGAGCCTCAAGCCACTACGTCTAGCCCGCGCAAGGGTCGGTGACACTGTCAGTATAAATATTTTATTTATTTACTATTTGTGTAGGTTTTGTATGTTATGTTGTCGTGTCTGATTGTATTGAGTCATAATATTAAGTTAGTGAGCATAGTTATGTTACACTTGTACTGTGATTTGATTATTATGGTTGCATTTTTAACTTATTGGAGCGTTGTCACTGATTACATTAACATATTATTCACATACCATACTGGTGGAGACTTAGTGAATATCTAACATATCTTCATCCATGTCACACGTTTATATGAATGTTTATGATAGACACAATACGAACACGCAAATAAAATAGTCTTCAATAAACCATAGATTATTTTTGTGATGTGACGCTTCAGTACAGAGATGAGTAGCCAATATATGAATATTATTAAATTAAATAGAAAAAAAAATCTTAAATAGATATCTTAGAATGCTTGATGAATGTAATCGTCATTGTGCTTAGTAATCGTTAGCATGATGTTACTCAGATCTATCTGGTCGTATAACATTATTTATTTGTCCTATGTGTAAGCACGCGCTAGAGCCGTCGCGCCGCGCTGCGCAGGCGCATCGCCCGCGCATCTATCTACTGCTATGGCCGGTATAATGGCGCCGTCTTTTGGTTTTGTTTCATATGTCTACTGTATATACAAGATATTCCTATGTGAGATTAGAAAGAGATATATATTTTTGTGGAGACCACGCGAAGTATTAACTTTTGTGTATATCGGATGGTAGAAAGTACAAGTACCACAAAGCGTGTCCCAACTGTTAATGAAGTTTAGAATATTACGCGTGCGTCTTATTCAGACAGAATATTTTCACGTTGTTATTGTTTGTGTACATCAAGAATGTAATAGATGAACTTAGGTTTTAAAAATTATATCGGCATAATTATTGTTATAAATTTATAATCATTAGACTTGTTGAGTAGCAGTGAGAATTAAAAAAATATTTATTTATTCTGTTATGGTTTCCATCGTACGGTTGCTGTAGCTGCATTACTTTATCAGTGATGATTTATTATGTAATTCTAAGTTGTTAAAATGTAAATCAAGCCATAATAATTGAGAATATATTCTTTTGAGAAAGAAATTGTTTTATTTGTATAAGTAAATACATTAGGCATAAAATACATCTCCAGTAGATGATGGCAGTGTGTGAAGCTGTCATCAGTACTGATATCTGTGTCGGGGTCGGTATCCCGAGGAACTGTCGTCGTAGTTGGAGTAGTCATTGTAGCCTCTGTTGTCGCGCCGCCCATAATTATTGCGATCTCTGTTATTGTCCCGCTGGTAAGGATGGTTGCGTCTGTTACCACGACGGTCATTGTTACGACGACCTGAGTTAGGAACCCACCATGAGTCTAACACAGGTGGTGAGGAGGGCAATTCATTGAAAACCTTCATATAATCAACATCTTTCTCAGTAAATCTATCTTTCAATTCTTCCTCGCATTTGGCTAAAAATTCTTTATCTTCAGCTGATAATGTATCAGCAGCCATTTTAATTTGATATGTTACCAGGGTACTCGGTTATAAACTCAAGAACTGAAAAATGAAAACAATATAAAACACAATTAAAAAAAATAAGAATTACTATGATAATAAATTAAAGAATGGAAACACAACAAAACCAATAACCCATGGAACAACACAGAACCTGTCAATCCCTTCCTTTCCTAACCAATATAAAGACAATTAAAAACAGCATGTTTATCTCAAAATCAAAAAGGGCTTAATTACTTAGACATTTGTCGCCTAGTCTATAATTAAGATTAGACTTATATGGGATTAAAAATTAAATTATAAGTACTAATTCTAAACAAAAAAAAAAAAAAAACATGCAGGACTCAAGTTCTGCATGTTATTTTTTTGGAAACTTTATCTGTTTCAAACTGAACAAATGCATTTCAAAAAATTCTGAATCACTGATTAATATTCCACCAAAACATATCATAGAGTTTGTAGTGAGATATTTCATACACATGAAAAGCTTTACAAGTGCAATGCATTCATAAAAGGCAATGATTTTCCCTGTAGTACAAGTTTTTGTCAACTGACAAATTGAGCCTCATTTCTTTTGATGACTATGATGTTTGTCTTATCTTTTTTGCTAATACATAAATAATGCAAACATTGCAATTGTGTTAAAATAAAAAACCTTGAATAATGTTAAAACCCAAAAAAGCAATAACAACAATGGACTAGGTTAATATGGGATTTAAAAACACACACTTCAATGAAATGGGATCATCTGAAAGCTGCATGGCCATGAGGACAACACAATACAGCAGTGGAACTATCACATATTATACAGAAAACCAGACACAAAACAGACCAAGAACTGAATGCAAAAAATATAAAGAATTGATAATATTTACAATTTTCACTGATTACAGTTGTTAGAACAAGACCATAAAATTTGTTATTTGGAGCACTGGAGTAAATGGGCTTAAAAATAAATCCAACAAATGCTCCACACTCTGAACAAACACATGGCTTCCAAAGATAATCGGGAAACCAAGATGTACTTTCTTCCCACTGTAATTATTTTAAACAATTTTATGTTAAAATGCAGTGAATATTTCAGAGCAGGACAGTCATGAAATTGTTAAGTAACATTACCTCCCCAGTAGGTACACAGGTAGATTGTTTAAATGTTATCACAGGATAGTGAAAGAACACGTCAGTGGTAAAAACCTGCACTAAGACATCTTCTTTGCCAAATATTGTGTCATAGAAAGAGTAACGAGACTTTGCACTAGACTTCAAAAATATATCACTACTTGATGAAATTTCTACGCCACAACTGCGACACAGAATATTTTCTGAAATGATACATCTATTTTATATTTCTATAGGAGCAAATTCACAATATTTACAAAAGTATATTTCAGTTACATAGATACCCTTGTTTTGCTGTGTCAGGTTAACTTCGTCAAATGCAATCACAGACACTATTAAACTTAAAATAATATGCCAAATACTAGAAATCATTATATAACAGAGTTATATACCTTATTAGTTCTAAAACGTATCTCAATTCCTATAGAGTCGAGTTAGTATTACCGAAATGAAACGTAAACTGATAAAATACCATAACAACACACTGTCCGTGTCCAGAGTGTCACTGTCACACAAAATACCAACATCAAAAAAATAATAGAGAGGGTCAACACACTAGGCATCACCATAGAGTTAGTCCTTGGAGTTTGTGGTATTGACCAGAGTCCGGAATGGTATTTAAGAAAAAGCAATTAATTAATATATTTCATTCAATTAACGTTATTTAAAATAATTAATTAATTAACACATTTGGGGAATAATTAAATAATGAACTTTGATAACATTTTTTAGATTCATTGTTTTGACCAGTGGTTTTGACACTAACGATTTTTTTGACGTTGAATTGACGTTTCGCTAGCAACACACACACACAGCACACATCAAAGTTATTAGTCAAAGCCGTGAAAACGAAAAGTGATAGCGAAACTGCGAAAAATACAATTACTTATTGGAAATTTGGAAAGCTTGATTCAAACTCATCTACAAAATGTCTGAGAATGTTAATATTGATCTCTCCGGAGAAATTAATGCTACTACAGAAAAGAAAGGCTTGCAAAAGTATGTGAATGATATGGAATTGTGAGTCTAACAATAACAAATTTACGCTACGTGGTGTTTTTCTCGCTTCTGAGATTTGTTTATGCTACATCGGTTATCAATATTACATGCTGTAACTTTAAATATGTGATTGGATCAAGCATTCATGTTTCATGAAGGGTTTAATTTGCGGATATGGATAGCTAACTAGGATACCTATGTATTTATTATCGGTTTTTCATCATATCATGACCAATTTTTGCTATGATTTTAGCTACATAATTTACGACTTTTTGTTCGCTACATTATTCACTCATTCAATTTTGGTTTGGTAGTAATGGAAAGTTACATCAATACACCACATAGTGCATATTTTTATGTTTCTGTATTAACACACTTCCTACCTGTATAATAATATCATTGTTACATTATTTGTAATAAATTACATTTTATATTGCTTGGTCAGAAGGAACTATAATAATGAAAATATCTGTAAAGGTTGCTTCAGCATGTTCGTAGTGGAGCTGGTCCTGCCCTGCTCATGGGAGTACTTGCATCACGGAAACCGTGGACCCAGTTTGTGGCTACCGACAACTTTAAGGTTCATATATTATACATAATTTTTAAAATTTTAAAGCATTGTTGGCCCAGTATAATTATTGTGCTGCTGAGTAAAACCCTAAATAATATTCAATGATTACAAACTAATGGCCTTAGAACTGAGTTTTTAGAATATTACAATTTACAAACTCATCAATATTATTTTATATTATAATATTATGTCTGAAATTGTGTTGTATCAATTTCGATAGATAATCTGACAACTTGAACAGCAAAGAGTATTGTAAGCAGTTAAGAAAATGGGGTAGACAACTAATTATTATTTTAATGTCCGTCTGATAGATTATTTAAAAACATTAGACACGTATTTTTTATTTTCTCACAGAAACGAATAGTTTCTGTGAGAAAATAAAAAATACGTGTCTGTGTGATTGATTTGAAATGTCGCGTGACGTCACTTCTCAGTACATTTTATACTAAGAAATGACGTTTTAGCCCCCACTCCTAAACTTTGATTCGTTTTATCTAAGTATTGTTTTATTATACGACAAAATAAAAAAATACGTGTCTAATATTTTTTCATTACCTAACTTACGGACTAATTATATTTTTAATTTTCATACCCTGTCATCATCCCCATTGTTTGAACCCTCAATAAAAATCTTAAAGTAAAGTATATTTATACAATTTTATAAATTGATGTTATGATGATAATGATGACTATTTTTGGTAGGTTCCTCCATCAGTACCTCGGTTATCCCGGCGATTTTACAGAAATGTGGAATATTTTCAAGCAAATTACTTGATGATCTTTCTTGGATTGTTTGCATATTGCTTGTAAGTATCACCTGACATGAAGCAGTTAGCATTACATGTGTTTTTTACAAATTCATCTAATATTGGTTTTTAGGATTACTTCACCTCTTCTCTTGATCGCTATGGTAGCCAGTTTCTTTGGATACAGAAAACTTACAGCAGGTCCCAACACTTGGAAGGTGAGAGTACATAATGTATACTTGGTATATTGATTTGAGATAGCGTTATATCAAATTAAATATTATTTTTATGTTTGTTGTTTCAGCCAAGAGTGAGTAGTATAGATAGTATTTACTTCTGTTTCACACTCTTCTTGTTTTCTAACTTATATCTGTGTGAATGTTATTTTATTATTTTATTTATTGCTAAAACTTAATATAAAAGGTATTTTAAAGAGTAATTTCAATGTGCACATTAAAAATTTGACTGTTTTCTTTACTTGAATCTACTAATACTAACTGACTGTGATTGGTGTGAAGTTAATACCTAGTTTCTCTTCTATTGATTTGAACTTTTATCTTACCTTTGTTAGATTGGTGGATGGGAGTTAAGTAAAACACAGCAGTATGCAGTGGCAGCTGGATGTTCCATGGCATTGTGTTGGTTAGCTGGTGCTGGCGCAGTACTGTTCTGGGTATTAGGTAATTCAGTTGATTCATATAGTATGAGTTTCTGATTTCTTAGAGATATCAAACTTATGCATAAGTTTATCACATTTTTATAAGTTCACTAAAATGCAAGTTATTTCAGGTGCCACAGTGACAGTGGTAGCTCTTCATGCAAGCTTCTTTGATGCGGAGGCTCTACCTCAATCTGAGGACCCAGAGCAGTTCCCGATGATAGAGCAGGTGTGACACGGAGAATTACCACTATTCCTACCCCACCCTCCACCTGGTCGCAACGCTCAGCGATTTAGTTAAAAGATGAAATCCAATAAACTATTGGATTATTTGGACTACATTAAATTTAGTGGCAATTGTTATAAAATTTTAGTGCAATGTGCACATACTTATCTACATATAATATTTATTATTAGAAATAATTAAATTTATCAATTTTCTGAAAATTGATTATAGTAAATTTAACATTATAAAAAATGCTTTTGTGCTTATTCATATATATTGTGCTTATTCATATTATTATGAAAACTAAATAAGATGAGGCTTGAATTATAATGCATTATTGATTAGGCCTCACATGTGAATGTGAGGCCTAATTTTTATGTGCATTTTGCTTCCCCATATTATGTGGAGATTAGTATTTTTAATTAGGCGGGTTTTAAAATTCCTGATATTCAATTTGATAAATAATTTATAGTAGTGTGTAGATATTTATGTTAAATTAGCTTTAAAATATTTGTCTAAATCATAAAACAAGAATATAATATCTCCTTGTTTTGTAATATTTTATGTGTATCTGTACATATTCTTCACTGTATCTATGTGTAAATAAAACCTATGTTTGAATGTTGTTGTTTTAACTTAAAAGTTTTTGTATCATTTGTAATAACCAACATGATCCAAGAAAAGGAATTGTGTTTGAAGCGAGATACGCGAATCAACCCCACGAAAAATCTGCCCATGGTTTGTGCCATAAATCATAGTTTATGATAATAAAGATATGAAAGATTGTGGAGGGTGCAACATTGGAACTAATATTGAATCATAACAGAAAGTAAGTAAAAAAATAAAAATAAAGGCCATTTCATTTATTAAGATTACAGAATAAACAAATAGAAAATAAAAGCATACTCTATAGGTATAATGTCCATAGTTAATGGTCTGGCTATACATACTCCAGGTAAAAAATATCATAATTTGTCACAAAATATATATTAATCCTAGATTTAGGATCATAAATAAATAATAATAAAACGGAGTCCAGTCTAATCTCTCACACGTCAGTACAAGTTTTGCACTAAATAACTAACACTCCATATTGCTATCATAACCAGAAGCAATTAAATATTATTGCATCAAATAAAATTAATCTGCTCTAAGCAACAACTGAATAAAATTTAAATATAGGAACAAGTACATTATAATTTTGTCTATAAAATAATAGTCATTATGACATTCTATATTCATTCCTGGAAGACAAAATAGAAAAAAAAGAACTATAAAAATTTTAATTATTACAATAGAATTCAACATAATCACAGGACTACTCCTTTGTTAATTCTAGTCAGTTCCATGTCAGCTACTAGCAGGATCTCATCCCACTTGTGTGACGGTGTATGAGGTGGGGTTGTGATACCAAGCTTCAGTTCTTTGGTGGAAGTTGGAGTGGTGAACTCCAGTTTCCTTTTAGACTTTCCAGCAAACACATGGCAAGCTGTGGTCCTCTGCTCACTGTCCAGCAATGACAGTGGTGTGATAGGGGATGGAGTTGTCAATAATGTCTTATCACATTTCTTCATCTTGTGTGGGCCCACATACTTAAAAACTGGCTTTTTTAATATTAAGTTACCTGATACTTTTTCAATGAGACCAATTGATATGAATACATTGGCAATGTCATAGAGTCTCCTCACTTTGGACTTGTGTTGGCGATCCTGCTGCTCAGGAGTGAGGATTGTCTTACTCTTGCTAGAGGTGTCTATCAATACCCGCACAGCCATCTCCAGGTTGATAAGAGTATTCTGAAAATAAAAAGTTATTTAAAAATAGCTTGTGTAGTTTCAAATAAAGAGATATCTTTATGTATACTTACTGGAGGCTCTACTAGAAACAGCATAAGAAATCTCTGAGCTAACACTCCTAAAGTCTTATGTTTTGGTGTTGGGGGCTTAGGGGCTTTACCACGCAGTGCTTCTGACAGCTTGAGGTGCTCACCCTGCTTTTTCAACATCTTTAGAAAAGAATTTAACCGGGATCCTCCATGCCACAAATAAGTATTCTTTCTTTTGTGCACAGCACACTGCATGGCTTCGAGTATATTTATTATGTCATACATTCGACGTTTCTCCACACCTAGCCGGGCTGCAGTGCTATCCAGTTGTATTTCCACTGGGCCATCGCCATGAAGAGGATACAGATTGAGGAATCTGTAAATAATAATTTCGAATTAGTAAATAGAAATCACTGTTTATAATATTTCTATGCATTTGATTTGTAGCAGTTTATGTACGTTACCTGTCACATAATATCTGGAGGGACTTTTCTTTTCGGTGAACTGCACTCGGCGGCGGTGTGGGATATTGCAACGCAACATTTGTCAATAACTTGAGGTTAGCAGTTGGTGACACATAGTTGGTTGAATTTGTAACTTCAGTAAGCACGCAACGCTTTGGAGTACAAGTTATGTTGTCATCTTCATACATCATGCGATAACATTATGTAAAAATCCTATTTTACAAAATATTCGCGTACTTTTTGACAGTGTAACACAAATCCAGTGGGCTTATTTTGTATTAAATGTTTAGTTATAATAAAACGTTGTAATAAGAAATAACATATTTTATAGTTTAAGTGAGTAAGAAATAGTGGTAAATCTTATATGAAATTCTACAAAAGTAACCTCACGGTAAACAATTTTGACAGTAGTAAATTGCGCGCGAGGCTCGAACTTTCAGTGAAACAAGAAAAGCCGCTTTTTCACGTTTAGTTTTTGCTTTTAATTAACACTGTAATGTAAAACATTAATCAGTAGTTTAACAATATTTTAGTATAATCAAATTATAATTTTAAATTAAGATTATAAAGTCAATTTTTATGATCAAAATGATTGAAAAACAAAGGCTTAGTTTTATTACTAAAGTTTTTATATGTAGACACATCATTGTTTATGCATTATATGAACTTGTGGTCTACATGAAAAAAGCGAGTTCATTTTACATAATAATACGAGAGAACTTTTTTCTATACTTCAGTTGTCTCCATTAAATACTTAAATATCCAAATTATATTTAGTCTGAATACTAATAGAGTGGACAAGAAACGGAAGTATCGATGTGATAGTTTATGGAAGTTATGGAAGGAAATATTTTTTTTTACTTGCGTCACGTCATGGCTGGCATGAAGCTTGATTACTTTTCTTGCAAAAGTGAGCTTGGTTTTCTTTGAAAGTGGAGGTTTCAGCCAATGTTTTGACTTTTATTTACATTTAGTTTAGTTTCGATCTAAAACTCGTTAATCTTGTTTATTTGTATTAAAACGTAGTGTTCATTTAAGGATATGTATCGTTTACTCTAGAGAAAGGTGTAAATCTATCACAAAATGAACGACGGGGATTGGATTTGTAGTGATCCAAATTGTGGAAATATCAATTTTGCACGCAGAGTTTCATGTTATCGATGTAATAAGGAGAGACCCGATAGCTCCAATAAAAAGAAACTGGGCACAGAAATCGGAAAGACTGCGGCAGAAAAGTCTCGTGGTTTATTCAATGCCGATGATTGGCAGTGCAACAAATGTGCCAACGTTAACTGGGCCCGGCGTCAGACCTGCAATGTTTGCAATGCACCCAAATACGGTGAAGTAAGTAAATAATTTAGTAGTAGTAAGCAGTAATGTTTGACATGAAGCAATATTTATAAGTTTGAGGTATGTATGCCTAACTTGTATTCTTCTTATGATTTTAGGTAGAAGCTCGTACCGGTTACGGTGGAGGTTACAATGAGCGCGGTGTGGTGGAGTATCGAAGGCGCGAACCATCCTCTGATGATGAGTATGACGAATTTGGTCGAAAGAAACGCAAACGTAAGCCAGACTCACAAGAGAAAGAGAAGGTATGATTTTTTTTATTAACTCTGTAGAACTTTTCATGGAGAGCTTATACAAAAATAACATCTGTTCTAAATCAAATATAATTAATCACACAGTTTAAAATTAATACTTAATATTATGTTTTGAAAAATCATTAACACCATTTTATAAAATATCTGTCTATTCATACAACTTAAAATATTGACAGCTTTTTGTGTAAAATTTCTTTTTTTAACTAATATTCAGGGAGTAATGGATTTTGAAGCTAAGAAGACTTGATGTTATATTGTAAGTGCAATAACTTTTGAAGCACATCATTATTAAAGTGGAGATAATTTTTCCTGCCTTCAGGTTGGCATCACTGAAGGAGCAGTATGCAAAAACTTGCCACCAACAGTGCTGCAGAAGGAATCAAATAAAGAACATAACAAGTCCGTTCATGGGCCAAAATTTTTCATGAATACAGTACATAGTAATAATAAAAGAAATGGCACTCTTAATGATAACTCCAAATGTGAACTTCCTTCACTTCCAAATGTAGCCGTTACTAAATACCAGCAAATTAACACTTCAACACAAGATCTAAATAAGTTGCCTACTCTCAAAACACATAGTTCGTACTTAAGAAAAAGGTCAATAAGCAGTGGTGACCGAGATCATACAGCATCATCTGTATATGACACGGGTTCAAAGAGAAGTAAACGCAACACCACAGATTCTATACAAAATAAACTGTGTAACCCTGTTATGGAAAATAGTGTTTCTTCTACTAAAAATGAACTGGCTTGCAAATTTTCAAAAGACAAAGCCGCTGAAAATGTTCAAGTTACATACACCCTTGAAGAAAAAGTAAGATGTGCAGCTCTAGCTATTGTTTACAATAACTGCAAAATTACAAGTAACAAGTTTGAAGCACTGTTTACAAAACCAGCTCCTGATTTTGAAACAATTTTTACTTGGAGACATAGGCTCATGACCACAGGCTGCTTAGTTGATTCTCATTCAGAATCTGAGAAGGCCCTTCTACAATGCCCTACAAATATTTCCGATATTACTACTCAAGAGGCACATAGAGTATCTAGACTACCAAATCCGGATGAAATCATTATTCCTTCAGAAAGTGATGACGAAGAATCAAGTAAACATTTAGAAAAAACAGAAAGGAGTATGAGTGCAGAAACATTACTTATTGGTACAAACAGGGACCTGCAAGCTCCTGGTAGTTCAGCAAGCACTGTTGATGGAAGGGGTTCACGTGGGCGAAGTTATTCACAATCCACACATCACAGAACTCGTTCTAACTCACGAGACAGTCAAGATTCCAACTATCCTGATACAGACTCAGAAAAAGGGTCAAAATCAATTTCAAGAAATACTACAAAATCAATAAATATATCAACAAAACAATCAATACACGATTCTGAATCTGAGTCAGTTTCATATAACAGCGAGGATGATAATTTCTTATCAAGAGTATTTGGGCAAGATAGAAAAAGGCGAAAATTAAAGAAACATCTTCCTGTACCTGCACCTAAACTGAATGATTATACTGCAAGTAATGCCAATACTTTTGAGGGGTATAGCACTATTAAAAGTATGAAACAGTCTCCTTTAGTGACTGGCAATATTTACACCAACAATTTGCGGAATATGAATGTTAAAACTCGCGAAAATATAGATGTGGATGGCTGTTCTAGTGAATATGTTCCTACCAAATTAGGTTCAACTGCTAAAAAGAATTATCAAGAGTTTAAAGATAATGTTAGGAGGAAAGGATTCTGGGCAAAGGGTAATGGAGCATCATTAGCAATAAATAGACACAATATGTCAATAGACATTATACACAACACAACACCTAAAAAACCACTTGAAGAAACAGTAAAACCACATGATATTCACCAATATACAACAAGTGTCCACGTTAAACCATTAAAGAAGCGAACATTTGAAGTCAGTAATGATGAAACTGAAGTCTACTCTAAACCAGAGCATTTCCTTCCTTTTGAGAAACCACAAAAGGCAGACTTTGAACAAAATACTCTTGAGGACACTGGTCGCATATTTGCACAAGTTGAGTCAAATAGTGTGTCTAAAAATAAAAGCATTTTAGACATTTTTGATATTAGTGACCCAGCAGTAAAAAGCCCCCAAGATGATTTAGAGAGCTTTAATAACATGAGAAAAATGTATGAGAACAGATGGGATGAAGATGATGAGGCTCTTTACAAAACTTCTGATTGTGACGAGCAAGCAGGACCTACCCAAGAACTCTCACCAATTGCTTCTAACAGAGGTCATAGTCCCATTTCTAATATGTTGTACACAACAGAATCGAATACCATTTCAAAGGGTGCTGGTAATTCAACTTCAATATCAGATTTCATAACAGACAAACATGAGATGCTTATGGAGATGTTAAAAGACTTTCAAAACAAAGACCTTGGTAAAATGGTGTCACCACTAAAGCACGGGACCCCACGACCACCATCTGTGGAAGACGTAAATGTGTACAACAAGACTGTATCAGATGCCAACATTCCCATGATAGAAGTTGAAACATTACCAAATATCTCTTTGGCGAATAGTGCCCATACTGTTTCGAATCTTCTAATGACTAGACCAGATCCTTGTCTGAATATTAAAATGCCAAGATCTGATCTAAATATAAATTCTACAAAAGAGAGATCTGATTCTAGTCCAAACTACCATATTAAAAGACATGATTCAGTGCAAAATTTTACTGCAAACAGACCTCCTATTGAAGCTGAATACCTGCAGATATCAGAGATTGCAAATCGTAACAATAAGACCTCTGGACTAAATATTTTCAGTCTTTTGCCTGGAGAATCTCCTAACTCAAAGGAAAACAATGGCTTGAACAAAGTTTATAATTTCACAAATAGCAGACCTGATTTGGTACCTACTTTTAAAAGTAGACCTGATCCGTTGCTAAGTTATGCTAAACATGATCATGCTGAAAGTCCTTGTGTTTCTGATGTATCTCAGAATGCTACTACAGCCCGACTTGACACTATGTCAAATCAGCCTATGGCTGATACTGATAGAGTGCCTGATTACGCTACTATTAGATCTGACTCAAATCCTATTCATACTATGAAAATACCTGAACCAATTCCAAAGGAATTGTCAAACGAAGTTTTACGATTATCAGAAGAGAATGTTGAAGGTACTAAAATTGTTCCTAAAACTATTAGTCCATCTAAACGTGTTCATATTCTGGAAAATGTTAGTATTCGCCCAGGTTCACCGCATCCGAAGATTTTATACCAGCAAAACACAACTGAACCCACAAGCCCTAAATCCAACACAGCATCACTGTCGTCCAATGCACATAATGCACAATTAATTACTTCAAGCCCAGAAGTGAGTCAAGAAGGAGACACATTAGAAAAAAATGTAGAAAACGCGCCATCTACAGGTCAAGTAGATTTTTCAAATTTATTGGCTAACATAAATACTAACACTTTACTATTGGCATTGCAAAATCTTCAAAAAATTGGACAGAGTACTTCACCTGTACCTAATGAACAAATAACTACTGAAACACAAAGTCCAGTTAAAGATACACAAGTTTCAGAAACAATTAATTTAACAAATGATGAGGATTGGGAGAAGGAATCTAACAGAGATGGCAGTATTGAAAGGCAATTGGAAAAACTCGATGGAAATACAGGCGACACTCCTTTTTTAAGCGATATTTTTGACCCCGGTCCGGTTATTATACCACCCAATATAGTAAAAAAGTTAAACTTGGACATTGAAAATCTCGAAGAAGCAAATAATACATCAGAAAACACACCTGTTATAGGAAATTTCAAAAGTTTTGCTTTACCAAAACCTATCATGCTGAATAGGTTAAAGCTCACTGTAAAGACAGCAGATAAGACTTCAAAAAACTCTGGAAAAAGAGTGAAGACCAAGAATAAGGTTTGTATTTACGATTTATAAAATATATATATTAGGACAATATGGATTAATTGACGGGCTTTACACATTTATGTTTTTCAACTTAATTTAAACTGACATCTTAATAGGTTTTTTCTTAATTTGCAAGGGTTAGTGTGCAAGGATCTTTGTTGTGTCACTATTCCGCTAGTCGATAAAGTGATTTACCTCGATGAATACTTGTTGCAGAGCAAGTCTTTACCAGTCTCGGAGCAGGCTGAGGCAGATGAGGAGGAAGATGAGGAATCTGGAGACGAGGCTGATCTTTCTAAGTATGATTTGTGGGGCAGCGACGCTGAGCAAGGGAACTCGTCTAAGGCTGGTTAGCAATATTTAGATATTTTGCAAATTAATAGGTTTTCATGGGTTTTGCTATAGTTAACGTATAGGTTTTTTGTCGCGCAATATGGTTTGAGTACATTTTTAATTCATTGTATCTGTAAATTACCATTACAGAAACTGAGGAAAAACTGAAAGAAGGAGCTTCAAAAGAATGTGGGCCCAGCAATCAGAATGATAAGGACGGCAAGGCATCCCCGCACAAGAGTAAGAGAAGGTTGGTTGGTTTTTTACAATCTTGCGGCCCGTCTCAGCTGTACCTGGTCGCTAATTACGGATATTTCCCGTGAATTTTTGTTTTTTTTTATTTTATACAAACCGTGCCCTGATCGAATCAGGACTTATACAACTAAAAAGAAAACCATGTGTCGTTTTTGTACAGTTAGGATAGATTAGGAGAACGTCCAATATTGGGACAACCCAAAATTGGTCTTTCGAACGGAGGCAATGTTGGAATTCTTTAATAAAGTAGACTGTTAGTGATGTTATATATATACTCAAATAACTTTTACAAAAATGTAGCAGCGGTTTCTTCAAGATTGTCGTTCGTCCGGTTGATCAGCCTACGATGATCAGACAGATCAGACACTACTGTCTTAGCGGGGGCGGACCGCTCGTTCCGCGCGCGTTCACGTGTAGATACTAACTTAAGACACTACTAAAGCTGTAATAAAAATTAAGTGAATAACCAAGCCCAAACACAAGGTAGTTACTGTATACCGTTGAGGAGTTCCCTTAACAATTACACTTCTTCATCATCAGACCCTTAATGACACCCTCACTCTATCTAAGTGTCAAGTCCTCATCAATACAAATTAATCAAGCCCAAACACAAGGTAGTTAATATGAACCGCTGAGGAGTTCCCTCGACTGTCTGTCGGCTCCATCATCAGGTCGACTCCAGACCCTTATCAAATTGTAGTGTTTAAAAATCGTAATTGAAAAACATAATAGACGCACTACTCTTCCATAGAATTTCGAAAGTTCCCCTTGGTTTCCCTAGGATACCATCATCAGATCCTGACCTCATGGCAATGGGACCATCTCGGGAGTATACCCTTTCAAACAAAACAAGCCGAACATAGTACCTCCTGCTTTTTTTGAAGTCGGTAAAAAAAGTGTAGTGTAGTTTTGTACCTCGGATCTTTTTACGTTATATAGTACCCTGGTTGGTTATTTGAAGTAATCGTAATTAAATTTTTGTTTTGATAGGTCTAGGAGTTCATCTTCCTCATCGAGCTCATCATCGAGTTCCAGTTCTAGTCACAGCTCTTCAGCTCCTCAAAACAAGTGAGTATCGATAAATAATATAATCATAGTATAATAATAAGACAAATTTTTGTTCATGCTCATGTGTCTGTGATTATTATTACGCTGCTACAATGGAATGGTAAGTTCCTCGAGGTAAGTTCATCGAATTCGAACCCATTAAATTGAAATTTATCCATTTCCAGGATATACTTTTCCTAATTAAACATTACATTTGCAATGTTTTGTGTGTTTCACAGATTCGACGATTTCAACTTGAACAGTGAACGTGAATCCTCGCCAAAAGGGCGTAAGTCACGCTCGCGGTCGCGGTCGCCGCGCTCACGTGCTTCTTCCCGCCGCAAATCACGAGACAGCCGTTCCGCCGGAGAAACCAGGTTCATATCTATTTTTATCATATTTATTCCTATTATATTATTCATCAAACAAATTTATGACCAGAAATATGATTTACCAGGAGCCACGAGTCATCACGTGACAAAGAGTATAACCGTGATCGGGACCGCCGAGATCGGTCTCGCGGCAACCGGGAAGACCGTAAAGAACGACGCTACAGTCGTGAGGGCGGCAACCACTACAACTCGCGCGGACGGCACCGTTAACCAGCGCACGGAGGACGCCAGAGACTCCTCTGTTGTGATTCGATAGGCCTCGGAGGGCATAAGTGCAACACCAAACATAATTGACTGCCCTGTTCCTTGTCTTTTTCATTAGTGAGTTGCCCCGAGCTTTCATGGAGGTTTCGAGCGCCAGGCCAAACATACGTTATTTTATAAAATAATTGTCCACCATCTGTAAAACTATTTGTGTAATTTAAGTCTATGTTATTGTAAACTAAGTAATGCCGTTTCGTAACAACAGAATTTTATATAGATGTCGAAAGTCTCATCAATTGACGACATTTTTAATGTTTCTTCTTATTCTTTTGTAGGTCGATAATTAATTTACTATTGTTGTATATAGCCAAAAAGTGTGGTTGGATCCACAAAGTTTAGATGTAGTGCATTATAGTTAGTTGCAACTCAATAATTAAATTGGTAAATGTAAAACATTTTTTGTTTGTGATACTTGCTTAATAGAAATTCAAAGAATAACATTAAAGTGTAGCGTGCTTGATAGGAAGAGATCTCAGAACTGTGTTAGGCAGAACATTTGATTAATGTTTCTACTAAGTAGGAACTTTGGTTTTCAGTATATAGTAATGAGTCGTGATTTTAAATACATTTATTAGTATAAAATAATATGCTATAATATAAGTTCAATTTCAGAATGGTAAATAACCATATTCCCCATATATCAAAATTGTACAAAGGACCACAAAAGTAACTCTCATAGTCACTGAAATGAGTTATATATCTTGTTGTTATTTACATTTTTGGTATATGGGAACTGAATATGCATAAGCACAATGTACAGCTTATTATCAATATACAAGAATCTTTTTAATAATACTTTTCAGTATCCAAAAATGGGTAAAGTCGCAGGAAATATTAGCGATTACAGCTGTTCCTAGAGGTTTCTGAGTTTCGTAATACAAATTGAAGCTAACTTAAGAAACAAACCCATGATATTTTTCTTCTAGAGTGAATTAGTAGTATGTTAAAAGTACTTTCATCCGTCAGTCTGTATGTATGAATTATTGTTGTGTGTAAACTTTGCAGCTTATAATTTGCTACAAGCCTCCGATCAGACATGTATGCTGAACCTGAACTTGCAGGGTGCAGGGCAGGTACTGTATGCGCGAATGTGTATACTTGTAAAAAGGACAGCGCTGTATAGCTGTAACTGAATGTAAAATATGACGCATACAATAAGTAATTATTGCTATAATTACTAAAGATGAGAAAGACTGACTGGTAGATTGGTTAAGAGCTGTGTAAATGAGTTGACGGTCGCGTACTGGGTCTGTGCCGATGCTTGGGTTATGGTGGGAATGTTACTTCAGTGTCAGCCTATCCTTACGCTATCCTTTATCGTGTGATATTATACTTTTGTACATATTATTAAACATAACCGCTTGTTTGAATAAGATGTGTCATATTTATTATGTATAGGAATATCACAGTTCAAATTGTCTTTCAATTCTTATTTCAGAGCTACATTATTCTCATTCTCAATGTATAATTTTGTTGAGAAATATTTTGAAAATGACGAAAAGACAGTTATGTTATTTTTTTTAATAAACTAGAAATACGAATTTACACTTAAGCTAACATTGTATGGTAATTGATTTACCATTAAAATCATAATAAAATAAACAATGTCTTTAATTTTCCTATTTGGCAACACTTTGGTAGTAATGAATAGGAATAAGAAGCAAAGAAGTACAAGATTAAAAGAATTATATTTAAATATAAACAAAGTTAAATAAGAACATAACGAAATACATTCTTCGAGAATAAATTCCCTTCAGCTCCTCGGTGGGCGTTCTGCGAACGAAATAGGAATTATAATTGTATGCATTTTGTATAATTACATGTCATAACGTCAAAATTTCGTCTCTGATATGTTCTGGTAAATATAAATCTAGTAGTTTCCTCAGCCAAGAAAATTCTAAACTTCACTGCAATCAAGAATTAAAAAATATTGGTTTGAAGATTGGAATATTTTAGATATTCTAACAGATTTCTTATTTAGAACGTTATTGTTGAACCCATAATCATTAGATGCTGTGTAACAATCATTGTTGCGTACTACTGCTTCTGAAGACGTAAACTTTGTATGCAGTTCAAACTAAGGGAAATGCGTAAGGGCCGTCATACCTGTCGGATCCAGACAGCGACATTCCTGGAATAAAGAAAAAATGCATATTAATTAAATTCTATCAATGATTGTTTGTAGGTGTGTCTACATTTTTGTAGTTTTACACATTGTTCACTTAAATCCAGCATACATTATATAGCATGCTTAATGCTTATATATTGGAATAAAAGAATACTACCTAATTATTGTTAACAAATAAAGAACTAGATACTTACAGAAGGTAGTTCAAAAGTTACCAATTGCCAAATTATTATAGGCAATTTCGTTAAACTTTTTTAATCTGTAATACTGCTTTGAGAAATTGAGACATTTACACAAAGATCTAAAGAAAACTCACTGCAGTAATGACTGTTGGTTTTGGCCCTTTCGGTGTCTCTGGTTTCTTTATAGGGGACTTTGGTATCGATGTTGATGCACCTTCTACTGCACCACCTTCAAATGACATAGCTTATTAATTAACAATTGTAGTTTCTGTTGAATAGTAGTATAGTAAAGAATTGGCTATGATAGAGCTAAGACGGTCAGTAACAGTAGTAAGTTGGTCTTACTGAACTGAAGTGAGTACATACCAGGACCAACGTTAGCGCCCTCTGTGGTGCTGATCTTATATAGCTGTGAAACAATAATTAAATAAGTTGACATGAACAAAATTCCATGAAAAATAGGACAACAAGTTTTTAAACATTGGTTACTAAATTCAGATATGTTTAGAAAATTAAATCTACGTACTCTGCCGTCATCACCAGCTGCCAATCCAGAAGAGAGTGGAAGCACCTCCGGACCCCATTGCTTTATAAAGTGGCCGAGCCTTGCGACGCGCTGCGCAGGAGTGGTGACCGTGTGCGACCCACCACAGTACCGGTTGCATAAATGTTTGTCTGTTTCTGACCTGCAAGTAGACAATAGGAATTAGTTTAGGGTAGGTTCCCTAGTCATGTACTTACTTACTATTATTTTTTTAGTTTTTGTATTTGATGGGCCGATGTTTGACTACTATCTCGCCTGCTGGTAAGCGATGATGCGGTTTACGATGGAGCACGTCGTCCCATAAGCAACTTATTCACTTGGGTCTTGAAGGTAAAGAATTCAACTCCTTAGCAGTAGGTACGCACAAGAAATCTTGATGCGAAGCGCTTCGTGCGTGAGGGTGGGACATCTACTATGAACCGGTGACGCGTCGCTGATTGTCTTGTCGTACGATAATGGAAAGGATTAGAGAGAATCAAGTTATGCAATTGGAACCACCCACTCACCGAAATGTAGAAATCTAAAGGCTTGCAACCCTACCTGTGTTCGAGACTTTGAAGCTGGGTCTCCACAAGCGCATCATCGTTGATGAGCCTTTGGGCACTTCTCTCAATGTACTCTAACGCGTCCAGCTGATATTTAGCCGAGCCGTTCCAAAGATTTATTGACTGAGCTTCGTTCTTGGTACACAATCTTAGAAAACTTTTATCATATTTGCCCTTAACGGTGGAAACTGATAAAGTGATAACCGATCCCAAAACCTTTGGATTGAGATCAATTTTTGGCATTACTTGTGTGGAGTTTTTATCAAAAACAGGTCGATCCACTTTGGGTGATCAAACTTCGATCAAATTTAAGATCGTTTATTAATTTCGACTGTAAGTTGATAGTTTGTTAAACTGTACCTGACTTTATGCGGTTGTCTGGGCATCGTCTGTTTGTCTATGTGTTCCCAGTCGTGCATATTGCGTTGCGGCAAACTGCTCGCTTGAGCCTTACGGATGGCATCTGTAAGATGATATAAACAATTTAATTATTAAAAATGACCTATTTATGCAGAAGTTATATTTCATTCTCGCTGTGGAGAAAGTATAATGTACCTAATTCATAACTGAGGTATGGTTTCATGGACAATGTGGCTGGTAGTGGTCTCGGTGGAAGTGGTGTGGGCGGTTCCATATGCATCACAGCCTTCGCGTCACATGATATACAGTTCACATCTCTGAAAAATTAGGTTCCAGTCATTAAACATCTTTAGTGTTGAATGTGAATAAGTTTAATGTTTAAAAAGTTTTGAATGTTCAATAGAATTTCTTTCAAATTTCTTTTAAGTCACCTCAGTAGTCTCTTCTTGGTGCCCGCAGCTTCAGCTTCGCGTCGCAGTGCTGCCATCTGTTTCAAATTTTCTTGTAGCTGCTTCAGTTTGTTGTTGAAGAACTCCTTCACCGGAGACAGCTCCATCTTGTCCAGTTTCGTCTCGATCTCTCGCTGGATGTCGTCCAGCGCTTGTTGCCATAATGCTTCCTAATGGTTCGAAAATATTTATTAAGTTGTTTACATTTTAAATAATATAAGAATAAGAAGGTTAGAGAGAGATATGCACCTATAGCTAATTGTTATGTAATAGTTACCTGCACATTAAGTTTTCCGAGAGCATGCTCCAATCCCTTGGAGAGGTCATCGCAGGCCGTCTCGAATTGATCGTGAGACACCTTTCGTGCTAACATGCGTAGATCCGCTTTATCGGCCAAAGCTTCAACCATATCCTCCCGATCCAGTTTTATGGCTTTCAGCAGCTCGATTTGTTCTAACAGAGCCTAGAGATAGACAGTTTCCGTTACTAAAGTTACGCCTATTTCGTGTAGACATTCGTACTACATTTAAAGTTATTGTAGAAGGCTTATTGAAGAGTTTGTACAATTTTATTTAATTAAAATAGGATTCTATAAGAAATGATTACATCAATATGATTCTGCCTGTCCTCCTTTTCAGCAGCGAGAGTAAGTGCTGTCTCGTGGACTTGTTGTAGTTGGCTCTGCATGTCCTGTACCGTCTGGAACAGCTGCATCAAACCTGCAACATTTATTTGTAAGATTATTGTCAATTTTAAGAAACGTCGTTTCCCTGTGTCTGTCGCGTCACCGGAGGCACTAATCTATTCGACCTCCCATAAACGGTTGGTAACACAATAGTAACTTCCCTGGTGATTCGATTACCTAATATTTACCGAAAATTGTCTAGTCTAGAGTAGACACTACTAAAATTGATAATATGCAGCTGTCGGATATTAATTTACTTTCATTGTGATCCGAACCTACCAAATTAAATAAGTATAAAGCAAAACTTAAATAAAGTCACGTATTATACATGTATATATATTACCTTGTAGATCCTTAAGGAGATCAGGTGATATCTTCCCCATGTCCAAGTCACCGGACACGCCCGCGAGTTGTCTCGACATATACTCCAGCTGATCTTGGAAAGAAGTAAGCTGTATAGGAGGTGGACATATATCTAGCTAGCTAGCTAGCTAGTTTTGTGTTTATTCGAAGGCTATTTGAAAACTTCACCAGAAATAAACACCAATGATTTTTAGATTTCAATTGAATTTAAATTTGTAGTATAGTCGAATACTTGGTAAGAATATAATAATGAACGTCGTACGAAAGTCTGAGAGTATCTAAATACCACCTTCTTAACCATGAGCACCACTCATGATTAAGGACCCTGTCAATGCATGAAACTAGTCAAGCAATGTCCTAGTCTCATAGAGCTGCTATGTGCGTATTTCTGAAGACATTTTAATAGATTTATACCAACCAGTTCTTAATTGGTTAAATTAACCCGGTCAAGTCAACCCCAAAAATGGGAGGATTATTACAATGACATTAATAAAATGTTTCAAGAAGTCACCCACCTGGTCACTAACCAGTCCGTCTGATTTGTTAATATTGTCGCAGCATTTTTTCAACTCTTTTTCCAATTGGTTAATTCTCGCTAGTACTTCAGGCCCAATTTGGGGCATTTGAGGAGGTTGTATGTATCCTGGAGTCAGCTCGAGAAGCTGATATTGGGACGCTAAAACAAGTGTTAGCTACTGTTTATCTACATTGGTTATTTATTTATTTATTTATTTGGACATCCAGTTGTTGCTACATTTTTATCATTAACTTAAAACTAGGAATTAACATCTTACTGCTAATGCACAACATTTGAAGGACATCACAGCATGCGTTGCGTTGAGAACACTATATCAATTAAATTTAATTTACCTAATTTCTCTGCATTACCAAATTTGCAATAAATTAGAAATTATATAATTAGTAACAACTTTTGTTATTACTCATTATACAATAGTCAACCCGGTATACAAAAATATAAATACAAAACAAAAGAATAATCAATAGTGGTTACGATTAGGTAATCATTTTTATGCAGGTTTTTAGTACACAAAACCGCTTAGAAATACGTAATTTTGTTACTTGTGAAAATGCGTCGCATCGCATATTGTGTCGTAAGGCTTAACTTCTAAAACATGTGATTTTAACAAACGCAGGTCAGCATTTCTGTTCCCACAATGATCTAATTTATATCAATTTCAGTATAGGTGTGTTATGATTATGATCAATGCAATTAAAAGCTTTTGAGCGGTTGCAAAAACACCAAATGAGTCCTGAGCCTCTTTCCAGGTTCCTAGGCATTATTAAATAGATATTTAATTTAATAAACACTAGCGACCCTTAGTGACACAATATAATTTTATTAAAATATACAATACTAAACACTCAGATGGAGATAGCACCAACTTATAAATGCTTGCTAAGAACCAGTAAAACAGAAAGCGGCCTCATACATTCCTTACGCGTCCGGCTCTGGTTCAGCCCATGGTACGGAGTGAGGAGGACTGAGATGCAGTCTCCTTCTGCGAAGCAGTCATGCTAGCTAAGGAGGAGGCAGGCCGCGTGAGGGAACGAAACTCCTCGCGCCCTAGCCGTCGCGGAAGACATTCCGGGCGTCGGAGATCGCGTGACGATCTCCGGCCACCGTAAGTGCGGGTCTGCGGGCGATGAGCAAGTGCAGCTTACCGCCCGATCAGAACCAGACCGTACGTAGGGCGCGTCGCGTTCCGCGCGCCTCTAAGAGCCATCAGACCACCACAGATGGGGCCCAAAGGCCGAACGGCTCGAAGAGCAGGAGCAGGAACGGGGTGGTTTTTAATCAGTAAGAGTCTGACACTCCCTATCGCCTAACCCAAGGCGGGAGAAGTAATTGGATGACTTAAAAAAAAGAAGTCATAAATTATTTCACCACTTTTGAATTGGGTGATAATTTTGGTATTTAGGATAGAATGTTATATCAATTACCTGGTGGCTCTCCATAAGGAGCGTAAGGTCCAGTTCGAGATGCCTCGCTACCGACGCTACTTGCCATCGTTGAGGGTGGAGGCAACTCAGGAGGTGGCCCTGTAATAAGTTTTAGTTATAATATTGTAGGTAAAAATAGTCTATGCTAAGTCACTTGTGATGTATAAGTACTTACTACAAGTGACTTACGTATGTACGTACATTGAACGAATTTATATAAAAATAATAATAATAATATTGATAACACTAACAGTACCTATACATGACTGTCGTGGTGGCCCGGAGGTTAAGACGCCCGCTTCTCATGCATGAGGAAGCGGGTTCGAAACCTACCAACGGCAAGTACCAATGTGACTTTTTCCAAGTTATATGTACTTTCTAAGATTATTAGACACCACTGAAAAACGGTGAAGGAAAACATCGTGAGGAAACCTGGACATATAATTTCTAATTATTAGTTTGAAATCTCCAACCCGCATTGAGCAAGCGTGGTGATTAATGCTCAAACCTTCTCCTTGTGAGAAGAGGCTTTGCTCGGCAGTGGGCACTTATAGGATGATGATGATGAACAGTATACATACATCAATGAAAGATTATGGTCGCATTGGCTTTTCAGTTAAATGGACATCTAAGGCAAGGGTTATTCAAATTTGTGGGACTTTGGTGCTACAGGGCTCTAGGTGGACGGTAATCTGGTCGTTCGATCATATTGACCATAGCGACTTAGCAATCGAGCATACTGTATTCAAAAGCCAGGTTTTTTCAATTCCAGGTTCGGTAATTTTTTTAACTGTATATTTGTTCGAAATCCCTGAAAGTATCTCATCCACAGTCACATGTTTTGTTCTACATGTGGAAAGAAATAAGTGTAATCAGATATGAAAAGTGATAAGTAGTAATTATCTAGTTATCTACTAACAAATAACCAAATAATACGCCTAGCGATATTATAATATCTGTATTAATGAATAATGGTAATAGTAGCTTACTGAAGTCTTCGTCGATGTCCTTCATGGCCGCATAGAAAGTTTCAGTGAGGATATCAAGATCGTTTCGTGTTCTCTGTACGTGTCGCAGAAGCTGTCGGACCTCATCTTTGGTTGCTATGGTAGATATATCGAGCATAGGCGAATAGCCAGGTGTCGGGCTAGTACCGCCGCCACCAGGGGATAGTTGTTGTTGAGTGAGGAGTACACCATCACTCGTATATCCAGGAACAGGTTGGCCATCTAAACCTTGGCCATGAGGTGGTGGCGCACCGGGAGGACCATAGCCTGGTGCTGGTTGACCTTTACCACTTTGAGCTGGATGCCCGCCCTTAGCTGATTGTCCTCCTTTAGTCGGATGTGGTCCTTGAGCTGGTTGTCCTGCTTGGAAATGTTTTCCGCCTTGAGCTGGCGGTGTACCTGGTGGGCCATATCCTGGAGCAGGTTGACCACCAGGCGGCCCATACGATTGTGCCTGACCACTAGGTGGGCCGTAAGCTTGTGACTGACTTCCAGGTGGACCGTGCATTTGACCTGACTGACCGCCGGATGGTCCATAAAATTCATAAAATTGAGCTGATTGAGCGGGTGGTTCATAGACTTGTCCTGGTTGTCCTCCAGGTGGACCGTAATACACTTGGCCTGGTTGTCCCTGCTGTTCTCCTGGTGGGCCATAATACACTTGACCTGGTTGTCCTTGTTGACCTTCAGGTGGGCCATAACCCTGACCTGGTGGGCCTCCGGCTGGGCCATATACTTGGCCCCCTTGGCCAGGCTGTTGTCCTGGTGGCCCGTATCCTTGACCTGGCGGTGGTCCATATCCTTGAGGTGGTGGTCCATATCCTTGTGGTGGTGGTCCACCTTGTGCTGTTTGTGATCCAGGTGGCCCATATCCTTGTTGTGCTCCAGGTGGCCCATATCCTTGTTGTGCTCCAGGTGGCCCGTAGCCTTGGACCGGTGGTGCTCCAGGCGGCCCATATCCTTGAGCTTGCTGTCCGCCTTGGGCTGTTTGTGATCCAGGTGGCCCATATCCTTGTTGTGCTCCAGGTGGGCCATACCCAGGAGCAGTGCCAGGTGGACCGTAACCAGTTCCAGCACCCGCAAATTGAGCAGTTGCCTCCCTGGCTGCTTGAGCCATTCTCGCTGCAGCTGGACTCCTGAAATTGAAAATATACATCAGCAGCCTATTATCATTATCAAGTTACATAATATTTCTTTTTCGTTATGCAATAGATCTACGGACTTTTGAAAATAGGCTATGAAACCAAAAATTACTGACGATAGGTACCTACCTAATCCATATAAGTAGGTACTGCAGTGGTAATAAACTTACGGAGTAGTGCCAGCAGCTTTGTGAAGTTCATTCGTCTCTCCTATGAGATCTTCTACAAGCGAACTAAGTTTACCGATGCCTCCTTCACATGCATCCAACCGAGACGCAACATTCATGTTGTTCCACATATCTGTAATAGCCTTCAGATTGCCTTGTGACCTGTAATATTAGAATTTTGTGTCATAACAGAAAACATTTTATTCCTGAACAGTATAGAGTTGATACAGAACCATGACTCATTTTGACTACAAATCGTTTAAAACATAATGATAATAAACATTTGCCCGTTGCTGCATTTATATAGTTACAGTTGCCCACCAGTTTTTTCTATTGCTGTTAAGTTTTAGGAACTATATTATGACAATACCTGACTTCTTGAAGTATTTCTTCATTTTTAGGTGTGGTACCGAATACGCGGTTCTTCAACTGTTCGACTGTGTTTTCTAATACGTTAAACTTGCTAAGAGTAACGATAGAGAGCCTTTCTGGACCCGAACCAGTTTGTTGGGTACCAGGTCCACTAGGCCCATACTGCGAGGCGCTAGGAGGAGTCGGGCCACCAGCGAAACCACCTTGTTGGGGCGGTCCACCTTGTTGAGGCGGTCCACCTTGTTGCGGAGGGCCACTTTGTTGAGAAGGAGCACCTTGTGATGGACCGCCACTGGGATGGGTGCCTTGTTGCTGCGGGCCACTGGGGAAGCCCGACCGTGCGGTTTGTGGTGGGAAAGAAGCAGGTTGACCCCCAGCCTGAGGGCCTTTAGCAACCCTAGCGCTTGGTCCTCCGCCAATTTGTCCTTGTCCCACTATTGTGAAATAAGACATATTACATCAATTTTGTTACTACATTTAATAAGTAAAATGTGCTCATTTCAATTAACTTGGTGTAATTAACAGTTATTAAGGTTCGAGTACGGTGACCAATGAGTATACTTATTCACGAGAGGTTAAAACTCAGAAGTGTTCGGAACACGGAACCTTTTATCGTTATCATTATCTAACGATTCAATTTAGTAATGCAACGCAATGTCATGGCTAATGAACCTATATACTACCTACCTACATTATATAGGGTATGGTATACTATGTTTTTATAATTACTAACTAAAATCGCGGGTTACTCACGTGAATATACTGAGAAAAGCTTCACTAGTTTCGAACCACAGATGGGTTCTTCCTCAGAGCGCTTGCATCGGTGTTGTTACTTGTTACTTGCGCTGCGAGCCCACCGAGATTTACGCTGGCTGGCTGCGCGACAACGACGCGACGGCGCACACTACTCATGAGGAAGACCCCCTCTGTGGTTGGAAACTAGTAAAGCTTTTCTCAGTATATTCACGTGAGAAACCCGCGATTTTTAGTTAATTTAGTATTGTGGTATACCATTTTAGAATCCTTATTAAATGCGCCAACTAATTAAATTTGCCACTACTAGCACAATATATTTTTTTTTTTCAGAACAGTCACTTAAATTGATAATTTAATGAAAGTACAAGGCTCGTCAAAAACGACATTATTTTTCCAAACTAAAGCTGTTTGCTCAGAATTTATGATTCCATAATACTGGAGCACTATTCAGGATAACGTGAGCAAAAATAAAGAATTATATTGCAACAGTACTCAAAAAACTGTTTACTATTTACTATATGACTTCGATTGTTTTTATATTTTTCTGATAACTGTTAAAACCTTGCTGATCACCTGATGCCATTTGATTGTCGACTTCAGAGACAGCTTTAGTGTAAGCAATAAAATTATTTGTGTTACTTGTGTCATTGTTTGATTTTTAGTGTGGAATCTTCAGACTCTAACTGACTATATAAATCGGCCGGGCCGGAGCGCCGGTAGCCAGTGCCTTTAACCAAACGCCACTTTAGCGATTGTCTACATAGAGTAGAATTCAAAATGTATGGGGATGACACTGACAAAATGTCAAAATTTACGTCAATTCCATATAATTTGGTTTTATATTCTACAAGTAGACAAGCGCTAAATAGCATTTGGCTACAGCTGCTGGTAGGCCATCCTCTCTGTAGTTAGTTGTGTTATCAAAATAAATAAAAGTGGTAAAAAACTTACTTGGCACAATGTGATCAGATTTTCGCTTACGTTCAACTGAAACCAAAGTAGGAGGAAATTAAGAAAATTTGTAAACCTGGAAAATACAGAATTCAGTAACCAAGGGAAGGGTTTACATGCTCACCAACTAGTAGGGTGTCTTGCTCAGGAGCAGGAGGGAAAGAAGCTGAAAAATAAAAGTTGATTTATATTTAGATTACGTTCATTAAAATTATGTACAGTAGAAACTCGATTAATGGGACTATTGGTTATCAGAAGGAATCCGGATAGTTGATTTTTCATTAAAAACTAAAAGTATATTATGTACATATCAAAGACAACTAATGTTTATTAAGAAAAACATTTTTTTAAGTTACTTTGTTTACAAAGTGATAATAGGGCCATTTTTACCATTGTACCACTTTTTAAATGTATATCTGGTCACGACACACGACGCACTTTCGTAGTTGTAATAGCTAGCTAAGTAATTATAAATACCGCCTTTAATCTCCCTTTAGAATTAAATTGAACTCGGTTTTTCTTCTAAGACTGGACTCTGTTTTCAATAACTTCATACAACTACTTATTGTCTAAAATCGACCTTAATCCAAAGATTTTGAATTGAAATCGGTTATATATTTAATTTCAGTTACAAAATAATAAAGCAATGCGTGGAGCAGCGATCATACGGTGCGGAAGGTAAAATCTGTCATTTTTAAGAACTTTTGCTAAGAAACAAAAAAAATAAAAATAACAAAAAATAAATTTAATGGATGGGTGACTGAGGGAATAGAAAAGTCATGCTTGCGTAAATTCGACTTTTAAATATTTTAAAATGAATTTGTATCAGTCAGAGGTCCAACTGGATAATCGTGAATCCGTATAAGTGATGGCTGAATAATCGAGGTTCTACTGTATAAAAAAAATATATATATGTTCAGATATTAATCTAGAACGTGCATCATCTTCGTGTGTGATGATGACAGTCTACGTACCTGGCTCATAGACTCCAGGAGCCTGAAAACATGAAAAAGGACAAGATTAAATAAATATTAAATATAATTAATTAATTAAATAAAAGATATTAAATAAAATAAGAAATTATATTATAGAAATAAATAACAAATTATATTACAAAAAATATTTATTTAAGCACCTAACGATATGACATCTTACAGCTACTTCCAATGCGATGCCATTTTTCTTTACATAGGTATTTAACCCCAACATGTTACTTGATTCAAATTCTCAAACAAACATGTAACTTAATCCCAATTAAAATGATTGTGTACGTACCCCCGTATCGACGACAAACTCGCTGACAGCCACAGTTTGAACATTGTCGGTAGGTTTTCCAACAGGAATTATACCTGCAACGCCTCTTAACTCCACATTTTTCGCCAATACTCCCAGTTGTTGCGCAAGGACGTGCAGAACGCTTTGCAGCATGCCAAAGTCCACTACACCCAGCTAAACATTAGAGTAACGTGATTAAACTAATACTTTTTTTTTAATGGGGGAAAATCATCGAATGACTGCTCCCGCCTGGGTGAGGCGGGAGGGAGTGTCAGACTCTTACTGACTAAAAACCACCCCGTTCCTTCTCCTGCACGTCGAGCCGGAGCCCCGGTAACCCGTTACAGTTTAGGTTCTTAATTGTAGCCTCTTTGTGAGAAACTGCTTTTACGGCGAGGGCATCAATTATTTTTTTTATAGACCATAAAGATAAACATTCAAATCTCATATCTAACTCCCTCTAATATACTAAATGGGTACATAAAAAGCAAATACAACTTTCACAATTTCTAGAAATAAAATAAAGAATCAGAAATACTTAGATCAGTTTCTGGAAATGCGTACCTACTCAATAGAGGTTTAATTAATGCAAAAATTTCTATCTTTGTTTCTCGCTTCCCAGGTTTTTTACCATTTACGAGGAATAATGGCAGTATAAGGAATAAGTAACGTTTTCACTCAATAATACGTTAATGTGGGAGGGCCATGCATGCTCCGGCACGAGTGGCGAGTCCAAGGGTGGCGTGGACAGCTCGTTAACCACCCTATAACTCTGGACTCATTTTATCCGACCGTTGATTACATAGGTACCAAGTTACATACATGTATGTACAAAGGTCGCAGATATATAGACAGTTACGTATTTATAAACTTTGCACAGATTGGAGAGGCGGGTCGCCTATCCTCATTCACTGGGCACTGGTCCAATCTCACGCTGTACAATCTAAGGATTTTTACACAAGGAAGTGAAAAGCTCTTGGAATATCATATAACAGCCCTAAGAAGGTACGACAAAGGTTAAAGAAAGCCTTTCGTTTAACACAATAGAGTAATTTTACCTCAGGTGTACCGATGGCCATGTCGATCATTTCCGATACATTGGTAATTAGGGGTTCCGCTGAAACAGATGAACATTTCAGGTATTGCTTTGAAATGCAGGCTATACTTGATATGAGGTTTATATTCTAAGTTAGAGCATATACTAAGTGCTTGACTATTTCGATCAAATATAATGTTATTTTAATTTTTTCTTAAGAGGAATAGCAAACAGTTGCTTTATAAAGGTTTACGAACTAGTTTACACAAAATATTTTAGATAATAATGTAACCCACTACACCGTCGACAGCATGCCATGGTTATAATAGAAATAAAAGATAATGGCTAGAGGATTTATATGTAATAAAGTCTGATAAATGATATTAGTCGGCCACGACTTTTAACTACTAAATTGCACAAAAAAGTAAAAAAAAAATTCTATTCACCAGCCATTTCGTTAAAAAATATAATAAATAAACGTTAAAAAAGAAAATCTTGTATTTATAACAGTACAAAAGAAAGAAAATAGAAAAATTTACAGTCCCTCTAGAAAACTTTATTAAACATCTTACGAAAATGTGATTCAATAAAATATTTTGACTTTGACATCGTTATTTTATTTTATTTCTATTACAAATGGACACAATCTTGTTGCCAGTTTGTAGCTAGATTTATAATGCTAGATACAGCTAGCTCATTTGGAACTTTTTGGTTCCTTTTAAAGTAATGAACAATGGTAATGGTCATGATCAAGGACGTTAAAATCATTATTTTATCCTTTTGGGGAATAACATTTTTTGAGCACCTAACACCGACTTTAGCTTTTTATTTGTCACATTATCCTCTAAATCTGAAAAATGTACTCCATTAATTCCTTGCACTTGTTCGACTCTTGGAGTACATTCTAGTTTGAACAGGATACCCCAGACCCCAGACCGCTTTATTCGAAAAATAAAATATTAGTACAAGGACTAGTGCGCAGGCTTGCCGGAGTTTGCGGAGCGCAAGTCTTTTTGCTTTTACACACAGCGAGGAAACTGCGGCCAGTATTTATAGCCCAGTTTTAATATAAATTTTCTCTGCTCTAAAGGATTTGTGTGTGGATTATGTTGATCAAATTAATAGGTGTAAAGTAATACTGTCTACAAACCCGCCAGACTAGTCCAGGACACAAGTCTTAATGAATAGAATTTATCGTGCTTTTTTATTTATTTGTTGTTTTTTATTGTTGTTATTAAGTTCACTTATGTATTTTATTAAAGCATTGCATGCATTGTATTTTATAAGCCGGACCACTAACTCATAATTCCAACAACAATAATATAATAAATTCATTCGATGAATGCCACCTGACGCCTGCAGCACATCACGTAGTCATCGGTCAGATGACATGAGCATACATAATGTGGTAATCTTATCACGTCAAGTCTGTGCCATAATGATTTTTTCAACGAATCCTTACATCATTTTATACTTCTGTCATTATTTATTATAGGGAAAACTTTAGCATTTGTTCTTTGCCGGTGTCGGCAGTGCGAACCGGTCTTTAAGAAGGACTATTAAATTATTGCTGAAGTCTATGAATAAAGGTGCTCCCGAGCTCCTTTAATAGGATTTAAGAGTTGCGAGCGGTTTGCGGGTGCTCGGACTCTATTTTAAGCCTGGGGTGCTGACTTTCTGAGTGCTTTGCCGTGTCATACTCGCGTCGACGTCGCGTCATTCCTACTAACTCTGTTTCGTCTTGCATTGAGCCCAAAGTGGAATGAAGATTTACATTAACAACAACAGAGCTTAGCATAAATAAGTATTTTGTTGGAAGCTAAAGTAAATAAGCAGCGAAGTGTCGCCGCCGCGGCTCCTCGCTGATGTTATCAATCCTCAGCATGGATACGACCGAAAACGTAGCGGTGCGTAGGTAAGTACTTACCTACGTATACCTACTAACGCCTGTAGATAAGTTTTTCATTGCGGATTTATTTGCACGTAGGTACTATTCTGTAACTTTGTTAAATTTGTAAGCTCAGAGATCTCAAATTGGGATATCGTAAATTTTAATGGACGCCAGTTTGCGTATTTGCTGAATAACGGCCGACCTAAATTGTTTAATTGTTGAAATTAAACCCAAATAGTTGGAGGAATTAATTCGCGGAGTTGCCATTACAGCAGGATGTAATCTCTGGGGGTGGCATATCAGTGAAATGATGTTTGTTGATCTGAGGTGCTCGAGTCAACAGAACACCGTGCTGTTGCTTCATATCGTGCCTTCAAATATTGACGTAGGATGTTCTTAGCGGAGATAAAGCGAGAAAACAACGAGTAATTGAATTTACTACTGGGAAACGATGGGTCAGTTTGTATCGGTGATTACAGACTGAGCGCTAAAATGTTCTCATTGTTTACTCCGGTCATTATCGACGACATGAAGTTTCCTTCGTAGACTGGCTAGCCACAGATCTCTCGCGGCGATGCAGTAATTTACGAAGCTGCAATAATAGATAATCTAGCAAAATTGCAGTCTGGCTGTGCGAACACACATCCGTCTCTGTACAAGTACGTCTCGTGTCTATCTAGAATTTTACAACGATAACAGACGATGAAAAGTGCTCCACAGACATAAAGTAACCAACCCCGTACCTGTCTGTCTGAATGTAAAATGTTTGGTTTGGTTCCCGTTTCGGCGAAATTTGAGGCTTCTCATATTTTTTTAACTGGCAGGTGACCGGCTGCGGGAGCGGGACGGGCGCCGCGGGCCGCGGTACGAAAGCTCGACGATCGAGTCTGTCCGTGATAGTCTCGCGTCGGCTCGACCGGGGGCCGATCGCTTCGCGTTACGTCTCGGACGTACAACTTGAAACGTCAAAAACTTTACGTAAATATTTAAACCACCTGTGGTTGTTGGCTAAAACTGTAAATATTTTACCAGTGTGTTTAGCGGCTTTGTAGCGAGCTGGTCGCTTACAATTAATTTAGTTCTCCAGACCAGTTTTGATAGGAATAAGATCGTGTCTTCAGTTTTGTGGAAAGCATCGGTATCGAGTGCATGCCAGGAAGATCCTGTTGCACCTTTAATAACGGTGAGTATTTTTAAACTTTCAAACTTTTATTCATTCATATTTGGAAAGGAAGTGAGTTGGCTCATTGCTCTTTATTATTGTTTGTAAAAAAATAACACGATATGTTTATTAATTTGTGTCTCATGAATTATAAAAGACATTTGTATAAGAAGATTGGTTGCTAGGTTTAGAATAATTGTGCAGTTAACATAATCATCTAAGTGCATTGCAGACATTTTTAAAAGGATTGTACAAATATGTGTACTTTACAAAACACGATGGAAATAGTCACATTTTAGTTAGTATCAGTGGGTTTAAAACCTAAACATTTTAATTAAACAAAAATATTAGGATCGAGATGTTTTACTTTATAGAAAATGACTGCAGTTGTGATGTAAATATCTGCACGGCTTTATTATTAGCAGTTCTGTAGTTTTGTCGGGTAGGTAAGTAATTAATTTTGTTGATTAGTCATCTTTGTTTACAACCGAAGTAATTGCGTCTACTTAATGGTTTATCTACCGGTGTTACTTATTTTATACTTACCTAATACTTCTGATGTACCTACATACATAAATACATACATACATCTATCTGAATTAACTTTTGTTATTAATATTCTAATGTAGAAAAAGAGATAATTATTATTTTATAAAGATTAAGAGAAAACGGTCCAAATACCTATATAGAAAAACTTCTAAGATGACAAAACTATGTATCTAACCGATAACAAGAAAAAAGAGGTTGTCAGTTTGATCTGTATGTATGTATTTATGTATGTTTGTATGTATGTATGTTTGTTTGTGCACGATTATCTCGCGATTGGCTGAACCAATTTTGATGCCGTTTCCAGAAAAGCGTTTGTCCGACTCCAAAAAACGAGGGGTTAAAGATATTTTTAAACGCCGTCTATAAAAGAATTATTTGTATGATGATAATTTTAGAGAATCTGATCAAAATTGTTAGGGACATAGCAGATTGCTAGGAGCATCGATGGTATCTTATAGAATACGGTAATGCACCGCCACCGCGAACCATATCCTATCCTGTACGTCAGACAACATTCCAGGCTTAGAATACGTGTTGTACCATGGTTGTACCTATCTATTAGATATTCGGCACAGATAATAGATAGATTTTTTTCGGATGAATTATTATCTATGGACGAATTATCTGATTACTTATAAGTCAAGGTTTTATTTCAATTTAGTTAAGGTTAGACAAGTTCACGAGTAGCGACTAATACTCTAATTTTATATTTATTACGATTATTTTCTTAGTTACGATTTATATTATGCACCTATTACACTTTTTATTTAAATTAGATTTTTCTATATCTAGACTAACTATGTACTTATTTATTTATGTTAAACAATGATAACGAAATATTTGGTAGAACGCGCATTGAATTAATTTTTCATTAAATATTTGGAGCGTATCGTTATACATCATATCATAACTAAATCAAAATGTGCTGATAAATAGGTACTTTCTAATGAAGTCACAATTAATATTCTAGCTCATTGTTTTGTTATTAAAAATATATATCGGCCATTATTCGAGTCTAATAAATATGTCAGGGAGAAATTGTTACTACAATAGGCCTGTTAACACGAAATGAGTTATTATTTTTAAAAAGTATAATATAAACAATACACCTATGATTAGCCTGAAACTAGTAGACTAAAAAAAATTATTTTTATCTTACATTTATTCATTGTGAGCATCTAATAGGTAGGCATCCCAATTTAGTTTGCAAATAATACTTATTAATAGGGTTTCTCGTCTCCTCAATTTTAAAGTGAATCATCGAACAGATTTCATGTTTTCCTTGAATCCGTTCTGGAAGGAAGTATCGTTTTCTTATTTTTGTCTTGCAACAGTAACCAACTAAGTATAAAAAAGATGTAATTCTCAGTACAAATAATTCATGAATTTAAACATGATTCATTGACTTGCACGCAGATTTAAGTGCAGGACAGGTCGATATTTTTAAAAT